ATAGTCTATACGTGTAAACATTGCTTAATCCATTTGTCTATGACTCCATGAACTGATGTTGCGTCTTTATAATGCCTCCTCTAGTTTTCTTTCAACCTACCCCTACCTACCTAACACATGTCCCAACAACATCAGTTGATGAAGTTTTGCTGCCTTGTTAATCAATTGGCCATATTTACCTAGTACTATATCCTTAAATCTGGAATTGCTTGCTCAGTTGTCCTGAAACACAGATGATACTTCAAAGACATCTATGACTCAATACCAATAACCCACGACTATCATCTATTTTTAATGGCCATGTTTCATACCCATCAAGTAGAAGGGAGACTGTTGCGCGGTAAGACGCTTTTTAGTTGGTAGACGGGTATCTCACCTATGCTACAGTTGATGAAAGTTGGCAATCGCTAATTCAACTTTCTGGACCCGTGCCAAGATTTAGTTAAGCACCAAGCGGTTACTATGACGAGCACAAAACGTGTGACTTGGAACCATATATATATATATATATATATATATATATATATATATATATATAACCAAAAGCTGATAGTTATCGATATTGTATGCTAATTATTTTCTTATTTCCATTATAAAAAATTGAAAGTAACAAGGTCTTTATCCTAACTAGGTTAGATTTCTACCTTTTTAATATTGATACACGTTAGTAGTAGGATATTATAAGTATCCACATTTTATTGAGAAGCAAGAGAAAGATTTATTGTAATCATAATTTATGGTTGCTATTAGAGACAATGTTATTACACTTGTGTCTATTTAAAATGATAGAAGGATAAATTGTTGAAAAATTAGTTTTCATTGATGATTTCATTCAAGGAATAATACTAAGCAGTTTGAATCAATGAATTTAGGGGTTACAGAGAAAATGGGAACTCAAATATTCACTAGGATGTCTTCAAGAAGGAAAATGAAAGACACTTGTTTTACTGATTCCAATGATGGTTATTACAGTGTTTGAGCTTAACTATCGGGACAACACGACCTAACTATAATGGCTGAAGCGCTTGTTCCTCGAGGTTACGCAGGATTTGAAAGCAACAAGGTGTTTGCTAGAGATAATCATTTACGGAGATGTTTCCTGCCCACAACATGGTGTTGGAAAAGGTCAGTCCTGGGAGTATATCTTATCCTAATCCAGTTTTCTAGTGCCTGATGAGGCCTGCAAAGTATGGAGCCTACATATGAAAACTGAACTATTAAATGGTAGTATACCACCAAATACGGTCAGATATTTCTTCAGCTAAGCGGTCACGTTACTGAATTGACCATTCACTAATAACCAGCCTAGTTCATTTCCAGGTCCATAAACGAAAATTATACTTTCACAAAGCGTTTGGTTCGCTTAAACACACATAACAATTCTCGATTTACTCTTATTTATAGTAAAAACCTTTCATTAGTTCTTTACATTTTTTCCATTCCTATTATCAATAGGTTTTTGCTGACTTCTTCATTTTTGCGTGGGCTACTGGTGCTAACGATTCAATCTCAAAAAATATATCGGTAGCCTAAAGATGTGTTCCGAACCATATGATGAGGTTTTAAATGTCCGAACCCTTTGTCGAACCAGGTATCAGTGGCTAAGATTAAAATTTTATGTTGTTGATTTGTACTGTGTCGAGATTCAGTACACAGAATCCAAGGTTTATGACTCGTATCATCTCATCTAGATCACGCAGATTCCTTCTTGGTGTATATGGAGATTCTTTAATGATTTGTCGTCGCCTCACATGTATAAGCGTAGCATTAGACTAAAAAGCAAAACAGGAACTTATTGAATAGATGCGTTGGAACCCTCGATTGTGTACTTAAAATCCTAAGAACATGCATAATTTTCACTGATTAAAGACCAGAGAAAGTTCTATAGAAAGCTTTCTAACACTAATTAAAAGGTAAGGGACGCTGGTTAAGTAATTATGGCGAGAGATTTCGGCGTATAAATAGGTAGGCCTAGTCAAGTTGAAAAACGAATAGATCGCTCATTAGAGGCTCCAGCTCAGAGAATTCCAAAACAGTAACCATCTGCTACATTTATTGTCAGATAACCGTTGAAGAGGATAAACTTAAAGTACAAAAAGAGACGTTTTCTGAAATGAAAACACAGACAGAATGGCGACCACAAACATACCACGCTAGCATCATGAAACAACATGCTCGTTTTGGAGCACATAACTGAACTATAATAACGCTCCCGTAAGAGCATATAAATTTCTGCATCCAATAAAACGTAGAAATCTCACTAATATAGAAAATTCTAGAGCTCAACTCAAAGATAGAAATGTCAAAGATAAAATAATTTGATATGATCTATTATAAAAACAAGTGATGAGTGTCATTAATCTAAAATAAAAGTTTAGGGAATCCAAGTAGATTTCAGTAAATCATTGGACCGACTTTGTGTTGGAAACCTCATCATAGTGGTTGATGAAATTAGGAACTTAATTTTGTCATAGAAAAACCGCAACACTCGTAAAGCATGCACGATATATTTCTGCCTATTGAAAGGCGTGTAACCAGGAAGAAAGTTAACGCAGAATCCCTCTAAGGTTGTGCAACACTGTTTTTGATGGAAGAGGATATTTGTAGATAACCAGTATTTGATCACACATATCTTTAAAGTCTTACCAGTGCATAGTGCAACTATCAATTTAGTAATGCTGAGGAAAGTGTATAGTAAAAGCCAATAATAGTAGACTGTTGACGGGGATATGAATTTTTATCGAATGTGGTTGTTGGAATACTTTACGTATAGCAGACTACTGGCTATCAATGCTTGTCGAAGTATGAGTAACTTGAAAGATCGCGGTGGCAAAACCCGTACGTGACATCAGCCTATGAAATCACTAACTACTGATGCGTCGTAATGTGAACTCCATACTTCATGGCAAGGGTGACCGCTTTATTATTGGTAAATGGTCAAACACGTGAAGTAAGTTGAATTAAAGTCGGTTACAGTAGAACAAATGCATTCATACTTTATTATCCGTAGTTCATAATGTTGCTGATATTGTCTGAATGGATAATATAATTATTTCATGATAAAGCCTTTACAGTGCAAACTGCAAACCATCTACATACAATTCATTATCAAGCAAAAGATTTGAATCCTTGATATATCCACAACACATTCTTCCTATTGAAATACTTTAACATTAAATCCATAAACGACTATGCATATTATAACCAAAAATACAGTTTGAATTTTGTTGTGTGTATTAAACAGACATTTGAAACCAAAAATTCATATTGCAACTGGATTTCCCCCCCCTAAAATCAATGTAAAACTGTTCGTTTCATTTGACATTGTCAAATTAGTTGATAAAATAGCACATGTAACAAAAAAGCTTTTCCGTATTTTAGAAATGAATAACTAGGACATCAGAAGCTATAAATCATAATCACAATGTACAATTATGAGATAATAACTATATGGAGAAAAAGAAACTGTTCACCTTAGTAATCCAATGACAATATAACGTTAAGAAAGTGAAAAGATTGCAAAACTATAGTATTTATAAAGCAAGAATAAATTGTAGCAGAAATAATGTTAATAATGAAAGTAAACGATAAAATCAATGTTATAATTGTAGACGACATTCAATTAATTATTGTACAACAAGTTGATTACATAATCAAGACAATGTATTTACACACTCTACTTAACTGTGTCGTTTATAAATTAATGTTTATATTAAAACAAAATATGAGGTTGACTGTCATTTTGATTTCATATACAATTAATTGTGGAATAATTTGCCTCTAAAAAAAGAATTCTGTATTAGGTTGTTATTATTCGTTGAGATTAAATTAGCTACTTTTGGATAGGAGTTCACTTAATAAAGTATAAAACTAAACTATTGGTAGTTTACATGGAGAGACTAATTTATAGATGAACCAATCAGATTTAAGGATAGCAGATTTTGGATTTCATTCACCCATTTGGTTAAATACTATTTTAGCATTATAGCTGTTATCAGTTCGTTATTTAAAAAAACATTAAATTTAATTGCTAAGCCTAATGTTCAACTGTAAATCTTAATTCTAATTCTTCACACTAATATATAACCCTCATTTAACACTAGTAAGTAGGTGGACATCCCAAGGTCATTTTAGCGGTGCTGAAAGGTCGTCCATGAATTCTAGCCTCACTTAAAAAAAAGGAAATGATGATCTAGATCAATTATCGTATTGATTCAAAATTTTGAAGTAAAAAGCTCAAGAGGATAAGAACAGAGTATAGAATTGCTCAGGAAAAACAAAAAGATCTCGTTACAATATTACTAACAATAAAGGTCTAAGTATATCTTATTGACAAAGTAATTTAATTGGAAATGGAGAGTATTGAATTTTATGCAAAATTAAAAACATAATGATTGGTAGCTAAGTAGGAAATAAGTAAAACAAAATAATATTTAGTTCATTAAACGCCTAACATTAATAAACAAGACAAAACTATAAAAAGAAGTTGAACTTGATCAACTCTTAAAATAACCATGAGAAAGGGATTATTTTTACTAATCAATATTATGGAAAATAGATAGGACTGTGAAATGTATATAAGATTTTTAACATAAATTATGAATTTTTCAAGGTGACTGACTTATAAACCTGTTGAGAGATATGAAATCAAAGAATTATTTGCATAAATATAGTTGGATACAAAGCATTCTACACTGAAATCTCGTAAGTATAACGTCGATCTCTTAGTATTAAAACTTTAAATTTTTGCTTGATAAATTGATACTACTTAAATACTGTTTGATTAAAAAAACGCACATTTACTATCTTAAGATTATTATTTTTAGTATCAATGATATAACAAAGTATTTCCTGTTGATTCGATAATATAAAGTTCACTAACATTTCAAATAAATATTTATATGCAGCCTTTTACACCAGTAATTACAATAATTAACAGTATTAATACGTTCTAATTATTTAAAGTATATAATGTAATTTAGTTAAGTTCATATTGTCCTAGGAAATATAGCATACTACTGATCAATCCTTCCTTCTTTCACACTCTAATCTCCTTGTTGTTTGATTTAGTTCGAAAAAAAAATTATTAACAGTAGTATGATCAAGTAATTGTAATACATATCATGAAATAAATGATCATTTTTATGCATAATTACAAGATCACATGAAGATTTTATTGGTTCAACTGTCATAGAGTATATAGATGTAGATGAAACTTTAATTTATGCTTAATTACCCATTAGCTTTATAAATATAACCCTTAGAGTAAAATTTACAAAACTTGATTATTTTAAATAAATATGTGAAATATAATACTGTAAAGTGTAAAATAATGTAATTTGATTATTAACCTACTAATTCACTTCAATTTCATTGTTAAAATTACTAACCAGATAAAATAAACTAGAGGAGAATTAAGTTTTTTCTGTATAAAGTATTTCGTTTTGTTTTGTTTTTTCGACTTACACAATAGAGACCCTCATATTGAATTTTTTTTAAAAAAAAACAACACGTATATACTATTGTGATTACTTATCGGTGCTTAAAATGAGTACTATTTTTCCTCCAAGTACTTAATCAATACTACTTAATAATACATATACCCTCATACAAACTGTAAAGATCTACTAAACTGTTAACTCGAGGATAAAATAACCTTGTTTCAAATTGTTGTTTTGTTGCCTTTATTGATAGATAGAAGCCAACGGTGAGTAAATGCTTAACAAAATGTCATGTATTCTTATCGAATAAAAACTATTTAATTAGAACCATTATATGATGAAAAAACAACCGACATATGTTTCTTATATTATACAGTAAACAGATAAACTGAAAACTAAAGAATACTAAAACTACTGAAAAGTATTATTAGTCATTTCACTTATAGGTTACAACATCGAGCTTAGGCTTTTTCCAAGGATTTAACAATGTTCATAATAGGTTTTTGATTTAAAAATGCAACAACTCGTACTGACATCCGTTTTTACGAGTCAAACAAAGAAAGCGATAGTCCTCGTAACTGTTTCAAATAGAAATCAAAAAACCAAGATGCATAGTGTACATTAAACATCCTTACCATTTCGTTATTTACATCTTCATATACTGACATCTGAGTAGAGTAACAACTTTTGATACTCATTCGTTCAACGTTCTAATCTGTCCACGATTGACAGACTTAATAATATATGCTTGAAGCCCGTAAGTCCTACTGATCAAATCCATGAGGAGTTATGTCTTTAACTTAAAAACCCAAGTTTGATAATTATTAGTCATACGAAGCGAGTGAACATAAGTTATTGAATCTTATTTCTGACAAACATTGAGATAAATAAGGCAGGGTATGGAGAGCATAAATGAACTACAACTAATCTCAACGTTGCACAAATATCACGTGAAATTATGAACAGGTTTGGTGTAAGAGAATCCTAGAGCCACATCTTAAATTTGACAAATTCCAATTTTATTGGCAAAAAAATACTAAGTTTCTTATATCAAACAGGCTTATAGAAGTATTTGGTAATAGAACTATAAGAAACTTAATACACCAGAGTGATATAGTTTTTTTATTTACTGAATCAAAACAGTACAAAAGCTTCAATTTGATTTCAGTTACAAATATACATACATAGTAAATTGTATATCTTATTAGTGTTTAGATGAAGATGAGTTGTTCAAATTTCTAAAATATGTTTAAGTGACAGTCGCTCCCTATGTTTATAGAATTCAAAATGTGATCTACTAATGTAATATGTAATGACAAAAAGAAAAACAATGAAATATAGAACCAATGAATTTTGACATTTTTCTAATCAACAATCGAACAACTGTATATATCATCATTTACAGCAATACTATGAATTTTTTAACAGTTTTATCTATTAGTTCATTTTTATATCGGTCATTTGAATCTTCCCATTGATGTTCAGGACTAGAATTGATCAGCCTCTTATTGATATATGCCCATCCTGTGAAGACTACCTCGATATTGCCTTAAGTTACAAGGATTATAAGAGACTGGTCAATTTCAGCCTTGAAATTCAGTAAGATGATTTAAACAATCAATACGAAAATGAAGTAAGCTTCACTCCATTGTACAAGCTAGTGGCCATCAGGACTCAGTAGCTAAGTGGATAACGCGACAGCGTTTGAGACAAACGGTAATGGGTTCGAGTCCCGGAGTAAACATCAACTCTGAGATGTAAGTACAACCAGCTGAAGAGTCAGAGATTGGACGAAACGCGTGTCTTGGATTCCACTGCTAGCTACCATCATCTCTGCATATAATGCTTGCGGTTTTATCTCTTTTTTTCAAATTTCCTGTTATTTTTATCGCGTGCTTTTTATTATATGTAACTAATGTCATAAATTTCAATGTGAGAAATATCCTGTTTAATCTCTTAAACTACCTTTCAAATTGTCTGCCAGAAGCTTCAATATTCAAAACTCTATTTTGTGGGAAAAAAGTAGTTATAATTTACCGTTAAAGACATTAGATGAGATAGCTTAAAATGGTCATAGTGATATTTATTCTTTTCGATCAATCTTTACTTTGCACTCTCAGATCTTGTTCATTCCTTTGTGAAATATCAGCATTCCATTTGAAATTGGTACTAAGATTTCTATTAATCTGCTTCTCATCTTATTATAGTTATGTTAAGGCTGATAGATATTTCTACCAGATTCTACGCTGTTTAAGATTAGTTAGGATTAGATAGATATAAAAAGAGAGAAAATAATACGTACCTGAGTCTTTATCGATAAATTTATGTCTGTACAAAAAATCCAAGGCAACCATAGCAGAATTTGATTTGAAGTGTTCGTCAAATATTAGTTGTTTGATCTACAAAGAACATTTAAGAAACAATAAGAGAAAATATAAATGTTAGATGATAGGCAACAATTTCAATGTCATAAGCCTAATGACTACGTATGTTTTGACACTCATCAGCATGACGTATCTACAATGTTGAGAAGGATAACTCTCACTATTTAAAATGGCATTAATTATTGTCCCAGATAGATAGGTCATCAATAAGCTAACCATGTCAAATAAAGTATAGCGTGATATGATCGATAAAATTTGATAAGCATTAAAAGAATAGACAAACATGACATTGGTTACTTATCAGTGACCAAATAGTGTTGACAATTTCTAATGAATGTTCTATCACGTCAGCATTAATTTCGGATTAAAAGACTGTTCATTCGTAATTATCACAGAGGCTTTGTCAAGACAGAAAACTGCCTGACTGTGAATGAAGATGGTGAACATCAAAACAAATATGATAATTATTCGAAAATTTTAGAAACTCACTATACTGCTCAACATTATTTAATTAAATAAGTAATCTCATAAACTTTCTTGCATTTGCGAAGCTAATCAAAATTGTAATACACAATTTAAACATGAAAATCATTTACTGTGGACAGGGTTAAGTGCAAATGTGTAAGTCACACATATTCATCGAGAGCTAGAAATAACACTAGCTGATTGTCTGTTTCTTTCTAAGTAGATAGCTGATTGAAGATTGATTACTTAAATAAACTAGCGATTATTTTACTTCAGTGACTTTCTACAGCTGTTAGGAGTTTAGAACTTGATATAGCACTTCTGAAACAATAAGTCGTTTTCATGTTATACATTCACTGTGAATTGAAGGCAAATTAAGTTTACTTCTGAATGTTAGAAGTTCATTTACGCACGCGGAACTCGAACCAATGTCCTTTGGTCTCACGTGCGAACCCTTAACCTCTAGACCACTGAGCCGTCACCCAACGATTTTAATGTCTAACTTCAACCGAGCTTGAGCAGCCCTTCATTTATTGTCTAATGTGGATAACTATCTCCATCAGACACATATTGGACTCTACTGGTCACGGCTTCTCACAAGAACTCCAGGAAATCCATAATGAACCTAGTCATTAGTGAGCACATGATCATTTTATGGGAATCTGAAAAATGAACAACCTGAAATAACTCTCAATAATGCTCCCGTTAATATAACAATACGTAATCTCAGTGAAATACCCTTATTATTATTATATTCTGCAATCATATTCGGTTACTATACATAATTTTACGGTTAATCAGACCTACCAAATAAATGAAAAATCTGAAGTAGGAAGGTTTAATTGTTTAATCGGATTACAATTTATACAAATCATAAGTATATATTTATACGATTGTCCTTCTGACCCAGACAAGAACAAGATAAAACCTCGACCAGGTGAACAGTTAGCTTTTTATAATAGCATGCCTTGTTCATGATCTCTCAACTACTGTCTGACCTGTAAACATCACGTAAGCTTTACTAAATTGCACTTGTAACTAGGCTTAACAACAGAATTTGACTAATTTACAGATATAGCATGTATTTTACATGAAGATAATTGGTAATTAAACTTTTTCGTCTCTTTATCAGGCTATATATATTCCTCATGGTAAATTTATCATATTTTACTGAAACTAAGCAGAAAGATTGACTAAACTTGGGAAATATTGACTACTAGACTTCTACTTAATGGTTTGAAAGTACTGAAATTCTCATGAGACCTCAAGATTATGTTTTTTCTTGCGTATGTGGTCTTAGTTGCACACTACTACTAGCATATCATCGGCTGGTACAAATACTTTTTAGCTCTCTTACTCTGAAAATTTGACTAGTTATTAGTATACGGAAAAGTAAAGATTGTTGCATTTTACAGTCTACACTATAAACTGATCTTATTTACATAACCATTTAAAACCAGGAAACACTGAACAGCTGTTTGATCATAATATAGGACTCTTTAGTAGTATACATCAACGACTCAATCGAAGATCTGTTGATTTTTTGAAATTTGTGTATGACTGCAGCCTATTGTAATTTTTAATAATGTACAAATGACAATCTTTTAATACGGAGAAAACTAATGAAAACTCGACAGACCGGGAGTCTAACATACAACAACACTGCAAAGTTAATAATCCATGTATCAATAGAATATAGAAAAGATAGGAATTAAGAATAGCTTTATATTTCTAAAAAAAGCCAAAACTGAAATAGAGCAACTTTGTCTATATCGCATAATCCAATGACATTTGAACGCGCAACAGTTAGCGAACTAAGAGTAATAACGTCCAGTTAGGTAACAATAAAGTTAATTGAGGAAATATGAATCAGAGAATGCTATCAAAGTCATCCTTCAACTAACGAAAGAAGTAAACATATAATAATAATAATAAAGCCAGATAGCTTAATGTCTACCATAGCAAAATCAAGTTAAGACCCTCAGACCACTGATTAAATCTCTTACTGTCTTTATGTAAAGGATCCAAGTGAACAATTTAATGAATTATCAATGCTTTTTTCTGGTTTGCACTCTGACCATAAATTATTTTTGCCGTAATATGTAGCTAAAATCTGCTTACTTCAAAAATTTCTTTTTCATAGTATCATGACGTAACGTTTAGTGATTGTCTCTTTTTTGGGTTTAAACAATCTGAGTATTGAAATATTCGTCTACTGTTTCTTTCAGCCTATTATTAATTACACTGAATAATAAACACAACTCTAATAACATGTATTATCGTTTATCATATTTTCTGTATGATTATCGACATCAGTTGAGTGAAAAACATTACTATTGTTATCACTGACTTGAATGGAAGAAGTTTACCATAGTTTCCATATACATTCGTTAAAAATTGACAAAATCAAATGTCTTGTTCTAATAGATTATTAACCTTTTTGAGACAAATGAATGTTGTAGAAAAATATATTGATAACTTTCAGCGTATGGGTAGAGTGAATTACACTACTTATTATTCCGTTAGACAATCATATATGTATAAAAAACAATTCATTGGATAGAAGACTGAAATTTCAAATATAAACCGTTGTGTACTATCGAAGTGATTTAAAGGCACCTGAGAGCGTAAAACTCATGAGACTTTGAAGTCCTGAGATTAATTTCTAACGAAGTTATAAATAGTCATTGCTGGCGGTTACTCATACTAGGGACAAAATAACTGTTCAGTGTCCTATGGTTGGTTAGTTAAAGTCATTCCATGATGTTCAATACTTTTAAATTGGACAATTTCCAAACAAACATTTTTGATTTTAATAATTGAAAGTGGCATAAAAAGTGATAACCTGAAATGTATGAAAGGAAAAATGCATGCTGAAATGTTTCATGGAAATCCTGTATAGATTTCTTCATAAACTGATGTGAATTATAAAGTATTCTTACTAAATATATGTAAACAATGGTGCATAGAAATGAAGCAACTGTAAGTTGAGAAAATAAAAGAAACATTTTTGGAGTGAAAGTAAATTAGTGTGAAATTCATTCGTTTTTCGAAACAAAGAAAAAGTTATGTAAATAATAAAAAAATCTTAACCATAAAATTTAGTCTGAGAATAACACGAAAACATTTAAAGACTTTATAAGTCGATTGTTTTCTCAACTTAGAACACACAATGCAGACAAGTAATAAACACGAAAGAAAAAAGGATTTTCAGAACTTTAGAATTCTTAACATATAAGCATTCTCAGTTGATACCAGTTTTTCATGCCAACAATCTGGAAAAGTCTATTCTTCCCAAATGCTTATATATATATAATGTATATCAAAGCTTCTAATAAGAAAACGATGTACATGAAAGTATGCTTATTTCACTGAATGCTAAAAGTCAACAGTAATAAGAGAGAAAAACTCCAATTAAAAATCCTTATCAAAACACATTCCTTCCTTTGATTTTCTCTATTCAATATAGCCTGTTGTTATTATGGTTGCGATTTTTTTTAAAAATATTCTTAAAAGACTGATTGTAAAATACACAACATTTAGAGATAGTATATAAATACTAAAAAGAATATAATGTTATCTTTTATCGGAAAAAGGTCAACTGGAACTTATTCTATGCAAGTATTAAGAATGTAATTATTTCTAATATCTTGAATTGTTTTCCTTTTAATTTGACGTCTGTATGTTAGGTTTTTGTATTTTAAAAGAACAACAATTTATTATTATCATTATTGTTACTATTATTATCATTTTATTATTATTATTATTAATAGTAGTAGTAGTAGTAGTGGTAGTAGTACTATTTTTGTTATGAAGTAAACCAAAATCAAAACAAACCAATTGTAACCAATGTTGAATGATGAAATGATAACAATACCCATTCAATAATATGAATTATTAACTAAACTATTATTGTTGTCTAATATTTAAATATTATTCTAAAGAGTATAAGCATATAAAGAGCATTTATTCATTGTATAAAAGTAATTCACTGAAAAAAAGGTAAAAACATTCAATAATTATAATTTTCTGATAATAGGGCAAATTGATTAAAGGTAATGAATCAATTTTAAATAATTTACGAAGTGATAGAAATATACATCTCTGTCCATATTGTAACACTTTACGTCAATATATCCAAGGTGGAAAATCAATGAGATGAAGATTAAGAGAGTCAATATGATATTAACATCAATAACAGTAAGAAATCTCAAATAGTAAATATTGCGAAAAGACCGAATGTATCAAAGAATTAGAAGTAAGACATAATCCTTAAACTGAACATTTAGAAAAATAATTGATTTTTATCCACATTACTAATGGTCATCAACCACTACCTATCATGAGTACCTAGCGAACTGTCATCACCCTCTTTCCTTCCAACCTATGAGGTCGAACTATAAACTTTTAAAAATATTTTTCAATAAAAAAAGAACACAATAAAAGCAAAGGAGAAAATGTAGAATTTTCCACTAGCTAAAATTATTTATAATTTTAATATATGAATTGTGAATTAATTAAACTTCTTTTTAATGAAAGTACAACACATATACACATTACCTCTGATATACTGGCTAATCGGAAACTATCCACTTCACCATCAGAGCTAACAGGGATAAAATCTGGCGGTAATTCCAGATCAAAACAATATTCAATTTGTGGGCAAACACCGCGCTCATCTTCAAAAATATAACTGATTTAAAGAAAATGGAATTCAAATAAAAACAGGATAATTTAGTCGATTTTTTAGGAGAATTGGAATAGTCTAATTCAATAGTAAACCTAGAGATGATATTGAAGTTGATGAGTAGTGAACAAGAAAATGTTAAATAATTCAGCAAAATGTAAATTTGGGCTAAAACGAACCATACTGGACATGAAAAGTAAACAAAACATTATACAAGAATAACATCAATTAGCTCTTAAAATCGATTGTACATAATTAGAAGCAGAATCCAGGTGCTTGACAGTAAGTTAGCGGAAATCTTGCAAAATAGATTAAATGTTTGCAGATATTCATCTGCGGAACATATATTTATGAACATGAGTAATCTAATGCCGTCAGTCCAGGAGTAAGGGCACATCACATATGATGATACAGTTAAAAACTACCACTGAAGCGTAAATAATTCCTATATAAATCAGGTAAAATATGACACAGAAAATAAAGTTACTGACTTGAGTCCTAATCAGACCCTCCTAGTAACCATGCATTAGTGAAATTACTACGGAGGTATTTAAAAAAAAAACAGTAGTGATTAACAATAAGTTTGCTATAACTATTTCGTTTCATTATATGATTAACAATCTTTCAAAAAAATTAACACGACAATGAAGTCACTACCAATGATGGTAATAAGACAACACATGAAAATTCAGATTAAAGATAAGCATATTCATTTTATCAACTGTATTTCATAAATTTCTATGGGTTCTGTATACTAAAATATGTAGTATACTTGAATATGTAAGGACTTTCTCAAATATCCAGTGGCTTAATGAACAGAAACAGAAGTGAGCTCGAACATATGACCGAAGTAGTCGTCCAGTTAGTCAGTAATAATCAACACAGAGCCTGTATTGTTCTACGTTGCCATAACACAGTAGACATACGAGATGAAAATAACAAGATAAGTAATTACAATGATCGAAATAATAGAGTAGCAATGGTAATAAGAAACAATAAATATTGAGAATATAATTCTGAAAGACAGAATAGAAAGGTATGTATAAAGGAGTATCAGAATTCAAGATAAAGAGTGAATGCATTTACATCATTATGAACGATTCTTAGACATTACATAGATTTTTAAATAAATCAGTAGTTTTTAAGGTATTTATAATAACTTCTACAGTAAGTGGAGTGAAATTCCGTTTGTGAAATTACTACATCTGATTAGTTTAAGTAAGCAAACATTCTTCAAAAGAAAAAGATAAGTTCAATAAATTTATTAATAAGTTATAATAAAATTAATTGGTCAATTTAAAAGTTAATTTAACGAAATATGGTTAGATAGTAACACTCTAACCTTCTAAATGTTATAGCATAGTAGTTACAAAAGGGATGAATCATTAACAAAAAAATATATAATCCAGGTTATGTGAAAGAATTTTGTGGAGAATATTTGAATTTGTAGATAGTATTAGTTGTTAATCGATCTCACATATAGTACAGTTGAAAACCAGAGAGCATTGGAGAACTGTTTTGAACTAATGTGAAACTTCACACGATGCACTCATGACCCCATAAAGGACTGAACCTGGTTATTGCTGGGTCTTGATAGATAAGCATTTGTTGTGAGATTTGAAACTCCCTGGTTTGGTCTTTCATGAGGTTGTGAGTGAGAAATGGCGAGACGTTTCATATCAGGAAGAAACAGATTTTAAGTGCTCTCAAGTTTTCAACAGTGCACCGATAAGACCAATCTGTGATAAATACGTAAAAATACTACCCAGTTTAATTTGAAATACTATTTCCATTTTTATAACGTTAACCAGATTTTAAACAATCAAATTTCGCATTTAAATCCTTCTTCAGTTTATTTAGCCAGATGATATCATTAGTTCTACAACTACATCAAAAGGTATGGGGATCAGAGTCAAGTTATGCAAATGTTTCCATGTACACTGATTTTCTAATATACGCAAACTTAGGAGGATAAGCTTTATACAATAATTTTGTTATTATCCAATAATGATGTGAACAGAGAAACGAAGAAACCATGACAATCAACGGAAGCTATTTTGGAGACGCTATTTCACTGAATTCAAAGTTTGCAAAATACTAACATTTAGTTTTGCCCCTAGTTTATTCTATAAACCATAAGCTTTCGTTTGATGTATGATTCAATGACATGTTCAAAATCTGTTGTAACTTAGACATGACCTTTGGTACCTTATTTTAACTCCTTAATGCCCAGTTTGGATATGATTGTGTCTTTCTAATTGTTTGTGCACTTTAGTCATGTTAATCATCTATTTATTCATGTACCTTTTTACATTAGTCTGAATCGAGTATAAACCGAGTAGTGTTCCAGTTGATTTGGCTTCTCTCTCGTGCGCTTGTCAACCAATCAAGCGATAAAATGGTTCCCGTCTCTCTCCAAGGCCATTAGTCTCAAGTCAGACTCAAGCATTTTCTAGCCTCAAGGTTAACCTCAGTTAGCCTATCATATCAATGCCTTAACTTAGTACCCGTATATTATTAGGTAGACATCAATGAGATAACAAGTAATGTTCAAGTCTCTCAATATGTCTGACTAGTTAAAACATAAAATCAGCCAGTCGTAAGCAATGTGGAACCTGCCACACTTGTGCATCGGTTCAAGCTAACACACCATATCAGTATAGAGAGATGGAGTTGTCACAATAAATCCAAGATAGGTAAAATTAGTAATACTTTAAGTGGTGACATAAAAGATAAAGCAAAAACAATTTGAACTCCCTGGAAAGGTAGAATCTAAAGTAAAAAGTGTTTCAGCCAATATACCTCGGCTTGGTCAACAAGTTTGGTAAGCTTGACTTCTATATCGAAGTTAAAGTTACGATAGGGAATAACATATTTTTTGACTTATTTATTAACACCTGCAAGAAAACAATCTTTCACAGCGTAAAATATAGGGTAAGAAATAAAAGAGAGATGAATAAAAACGGTTAGAGATAAAATATATATAAGTAACATCCTTACTATTTTTATTTCGCCGTTCAAGGCGACCAGAAGCAACAATCCAAGGATGTTTGGGATGGATTACTCTTCTTCTAAATGCAAAATATTGCTTCAGGACTGTTCTGAATCAACGACTGAACTAATAATAGGGAATGAAGCAGTTGAGAAAGTCGACCACGTCACTTATCTTGGAAGTCTCATCAACCCTGGTGGTCTTGTGCCTGACAAAATCTTGGCATGGACTCAGATGGCCCGGCTGGGCGCTTGCCAACTTGCATAAGTTGTGGCTTAGGCGAAATGTTTCCCGTGCGCGTGTGTATTTGTTTCTCTCATTCACTCACGAAGGCTATTTTCACATTATCATACAGATATAATGCGGGAAAAAATTGTGATTATTCACAGAACTCTTTCCTATTCTTTTTATATCCAAAAATATATTATTACTTGATTTAGTTATCTCACAACAGTATAATGTGTTTCCGGATTTCTCACACTTCTATGTAATGCTTTAAAATATCGGTTTCTTCTAACTGGGCTCTTTTTAATATATTAATGGAATTAAAGCGAAACTTAAGTACAGCGTATTATATATATATATATATATACAAACGAATCCTCTGGTTAGTACATTGGCTGACCTTGAGATTTGATCTTCTTTGATCAATTATTATTAGTCAATATGATCATATCCTTAAGGTTAGAAATTTAGGTCAGTAAAAATAAAATAAAAATACCAGAAAAATCGAATGACCTAGAAAGGGAAACGAATAAGCAAAGTCAGGATGATATTCGTACTGCGCAATGATTTAAAACAATTCAGTCGCAAGATTACCATGAAACACTACTTTTTAGCCAATTGGTAGAAAAAAATATGTATTGTCAATTAGGATAATACGGTTTATTAAGTCGGATAACAACAATAGTAATAATATCAATTATTATCATTAATTTAAAAAACTAATGGCAACTAGAACATTTGTTAGCCAATTAGGTTGCTGAAACATTTTTAAAGTTTATTGATTGGAGAATTAGTACTGGTCACATTCAAAGTGGATTACATTACAAGCTAAATAAACATTGGAAACTAGAATAGGGTGAAATGTTCTTCTGTATCTATACCATTATAGGGACTAATCGTTAATATGAACACAATTCCAAATATAATTGAAACTATGCCTTTCAGGCACAATGAAGAGATTATTATCTATTGAACTATTGAATTTAATTCTGATGGCTGAAAATTTTTTTAAATCAAATAATTTCCGTACCATCATCACTTAACCTCTTTTAGGAAGGATGTCATTAGTTTAGCGAATCTCTACAGTTGTCCATGAAATCAATAACTTTAGTATTTTAAGCTGAAACTGTCAATGGTGAAATTGTTTCTAGTTATCTCAACTAAAATAATCGAAATATTCAAACCAATAGAAGATGTAAATGTTAGTATATTAATATTTTGAATTATCATTTATGTATAACAAAACAATATGGTTTAAAATCATACAAAGACTATCATAAGTAACCTTAACTAAGACATTATATCATAACCTGCTTCAATCATTAAAAAATGTTCACATTATCTTTTTTTTGAAAACACAACATTAGTGAACAGCATTAATTATTTGTATACTTAGGAACAATGACCGATAGGTTTTATCAGTTAGATTGACATTAAAACCGACGCACTCCCCCCCCGGTACAAAGGTCAGATACCTTGACACAAAATTGGAAATTGGCAAGAACCGGTAAACATTAAAAAAAACGAATAGGGAAATTATGCACTATTCATCAGCTGACTAGTTCACTTTATTCATAATGACATATTATAATGGTACATACACAAAAAATTAAGGTAATTTTAAAAGGCAAATACAAATTAAAATAAATACATCAATATATTATAAGACTTTAATAAATTAATTGGAGTTACTTCGAGTTATTACAAATTATACACATGACTTTACAAATGTGTTTGTTACTTGACCTTAAGAATTGAATATCAGTGTAAATTTATACTTTAGAACTTATAAGATACTTCGAATAACAATAACGGTAATGAGTGATAATAATAATAATAATAACAATAATAATAAAAGAGCTAATAGCGAAGATTAAATAACACGAGGGTTTGAAAGCAAGTGATCTGTTTCCAGTCATGACCACAAATATATGAAAAGGATTATGGTAATAAGGCGATGATGACGTAATCGACACATCTGTGATACCATTAAAGTAATTTAACGACTACTTTACGATAGATTAAGGTTATTGCTACAGGATCACGTTTATAGCGCATGTGTGACTATATGTAATTCTGAAAACATCAATCATTAAAATTCTTTAGAGGTACTATCATCTTATCGGTGTATATAACTTACTGACTGGAATAATTATATTTCCTCGGTAGAATTGGCGTTAGTTTGAAATACATGTTGCTAACCTCCTCAAATATATAAGTAAAGAGCCTGATTATAGTTCAAGTTAAGTCTGACCGTATCATTATAACTTCTAAAACAATGTTTCATATTTAAATTTATTGAATTAGGTTAGTGAACACAGTATCTATCGATGCTAAGAGATGATCATAAGAGAGGTAGAAATAATAAGTCGACATATAATTTTTTAACTGTACTAGCATGTGAATACAGTGATATAGTAGCTGCCTACCTAACTAATAACATATTTAGATACAGACAATTGATGATAGGATAGATAATAGAAGGACCTGCATAAGCGAGAAATCTTAAACTAAGATAAACGAATATTCATTCACTTCTAGTATTTTATTTATTTATTTAATAATAGCTTATCTCGAATTTACTCATCTCTTACGATCAACCGGTAACACATCCGAAATCTTACTCCACTAGCTTCAATAATTAGATTTGTTTTTAACTCACGCTTGTTTTATTGCAAACTTTTGTCGGTTGCATTCATTAATAAAAGTAGGTACATCCTCTTATGGGCTTCCACAGAGTTGTCAACCCACTTTTTCTGTTATTTTTCAAATTTTTCTAACATAAGCAGCTCATCATTTTCCTGCCCTCCCCTCAGCACACAATGTCACTTCAGGCTGAACAGAAACCTACAAAAGGTTAAGCTTTATATATAAATATAATCAGTTTCATGCATAAGAAACCTAGTTGATAGAAAACGATCAGCAATTGGCATTAATTAGGGGAACATGACACTATTCATTACACAGTAACTGATCAATCCAAATAATTCAGTCCCATGGGAAATAAATGATAACCCGAATAACTATGGTAATGTATCCAATGTAACGCTGCGTGATCCAGGTTTGAAAGTTACATATAACATCAGTTCCGTCAACACTACAAGTACACCTTGCTGACGAGGGGTACAAGCTAGAATGAAACTTAGGTCTAGTCTAGTGTTTCCTGTCGACTATCTCCAACGATCTGATATCCAAACTATCTGGGGGTTTTTTTTATAAATAAAAAGTTAAGAAAACTAAAATATTACCAAGTTATTCAGTAAAAAATATTTTCATCGATAAACTAAATAAAATATATATTCTAATTCAAAATTAGTTTTTACACTATATAAATACAACTTACCTTATTTGATTTACAAGGGTTAGTTTACCAAGCATATGCTCTGGTACACTTGCTTCCTCTTGACACTCTTTACGAGCACATTCCATTACATCTAGACCATATGTTAAACCTCCAGCAGCCTGAATGTAAGTTCGGAAAACAACAAAAAGGTGTTATGTTATCCTCAAATTAAGTAGATTAAATCTGGTTACTTATAAATGGGTTGTTTACATCTAGAAAATGAAATTTCAAATATTTTTCGGAAAAAAGTTATCCTTTCATATAGTTCAGTTCAAATGTATTGAATAAGTTTTTTTTATTACCCTCTTTATGAATTAGAAAAATCTGTATCCACATTTGCTCATAATTCATAATGGATAATAAAACCGATAAGTAGTCACCAAAAATACTAATATATAGATAGGTAGATAAATAGATGAATGTATCTTTCTACTATACATCGCTATTACAATTTAACTCATTTTAAATGGTGAAGAAAACTAGACATCTACTTTTAAATAAAACTCTTGTATTTTGTTTGATGTAAAAAACATTCCGAACTGTCTTAGATGAAATATTTTTAAAAATTTTCTAACACCATTTAAACAATGATCGTTGTATAAAGATGGGCCATAAAGCGACTATGTAATGGATTTTTACCGATATTTCAAAGCTGGATAACCAAGAATAGAGGTAATAAATTTTCGAAACAAAATAATTGATCGATATGCATGAAATTCAGTGATCAGTTAAAGTCCAACAACAAAACTACGAAACTTAGTTTTCGACTATGAATTCGAACTCCTAAAATTACATCACACTTAGGTTGTTACAACTTCAGTCTACTCAATCACTATCAGAATGGAAAAAAATCTCGAAGATTTTATCAGAATATGTAAAAAAACTCGAGTTTATCATCAAATGAAACTGTTATGCAATTAGTTAGCAATTTCTTACCTAATCATATACGGTTATGATAAGTCTCTACGTCACGCATAAAACTATTGACTTTTTATGGAAATACTCAATAAATCAATCTTCCCAAAAAAATCTTAAAGAACGTTCAAAAAAGTTTAATCTCTCAAATTCATGACTACATTCCTTTTTGCAGATACTTTCCCATCAAGTGCAAAATTTGGCTTTAAGATTGGATTACGCCAGCACCCGAATTAAAGATAGGAAATGAGGTAGTCGAGTGTATTGACCACGTCACTTATTTTGGGAATCTCACCAGTCATGATGGGTTAGTTCCTGACGAAATCTCGGTATGGATTCAGAAAGCCGGATTGGCTATTACCAAATTACATCGTCTGTCAACCAAAAACGAGCTTACCGAGCAACGGTTCTCTCCGTTCTACTTCAAGGGTATGAAACATGATCAGTAAAAATAGATGAGTCATAGACAATTGGATTGAGCAATGTTTACAAGTATAAAGTATCTGGTCGGGTTGTACGTGATTATCATAACCAGTGGTTAGAGACGTGGAATGACATGGCTGAAAATCGTTTGTAATGGCACAGGTGGATCCATTCTTTGTCTTCCTCCAGATCCTAAGCTTATGAATTCCTCATAGTTTTGTTTACTTCACTAATTTATATTTTCTTGGATGTTTAATGTGTAATCTCTTTTACTACCATTAATACTGCTCATATGTCTACTGCTCTATGAATAACCCTAATAATTTCATATCGCTGTGCTGATGATGTATGAAAATGTAAACCAATGTACACATGTACGAGGTTCTACGCTGTGTTTGGCTGACTGTAGATAGTTTTGAATTAGTTTAATTATTAATCATTTATATTATTCACTATATTCAGATATTAATCTAATAACGAGCAGTAAAACAAAAATATTTGCTTTTTGTAAAGGATTTTGTTTTCCTATTGGTAATGACAAGGACCGTGACTGGTCATTTGCAAGTGGTGTATGTGCATCATAGTGCATTGCCTCCGTACTATCACATAGTCGATTAGTTTTAACAAAATTGGGTTGTGGCTAGCATTGGAATCAAGGAAGTGTGTTTCGTCCTATTTGGGACTTGCCAACTGGATATGTACCTGCACCCCAGAATTGATGCTCACATTACGGTTCAAACCCGGTAATCTTCTGCCTCTAACTTCAAGGGGTTATACACTGAACTAATAAATTTACATAAGCTGAAACATAGTTCCTGGATTCCAGCGCTAGCCAATAACGAATATTTACTAGAAACATGTGTTTATAATCTAGAGCATTAAGACATATACACACCGTGAAAATGAACAACATAACCAAATGAATACTATGATTATTGATTTGACACTAATTGCTAAACATATAGAATGTATTTGAAGGCTTTGTAAAATTATTAATTGTATCTAATAAAAAGAAAAGTCGTTTGTTGGTCGATTTGAGTAGAGAATAACCTTGTTAGATGTTGTTGTTGTCATCAAACTATAAAATTTAGCACAACAAAATTTCACACAATATATTACGGTGGAAAATAATAAAGAAAGAAAATTATGAATTATGCATGAAAAAGTATGCAATCCATGTATATTTAAAAAATATTCAACCAGTTATTGAAATACTTGGTAATAATTAGTCAGTAATTACTGTTGAGACAATTGAGTGGCTAGAGAAATCTAATTACTTTTACTCAATATAGTGAAACAGGGTAATCGTATTAATTAGACTTGAGTGTCTTGACGTTTGGGATTATATATATAGGCCCTAGAAATGTAAGTTACTAAAAAATATAATTTACTTACTGTATGATTACAAATACTGAGTTGATAAGTACAGGTTTAAGTGATAACCATTAGTTGCAAGATATAGTCAGTGCTCAAAAAGTGACCTACCTGTCTTATATAAGATAATTTTTTGACAGTGTACTAAATACAAAATATCATAAAATATTTAAGTCTATTTAACTTTAACAAACTCTGCCTGTAGGACTTCTAGAGCTACTGTCGGTCCCAAAGGTTGGGCATGGGGTCAACAACCCCATACCGTAGGAAGTAACCTTACCCAAAAACGTTAACCAAAATGAACAATTTAAACTGTATTCTGAGTTGAAGGATCTTTATTCAGAGGAATTATGACGCCACAAGGTGAAAGCCGAGACTCTTCGGAAGTCACGAGGCCGATATCTCTTTTGACAACCAGAGGGACAATTAATATACATACATGAAATGTCCGGACCGGGAGGACTATTCGAATAGCTACAAAATGAGGAGATACAACTTGATGGTGCTCGGAATCAGTGAAATACGTCGGACTCAAGCTGGGCAGAAAAGGATGAATTTGGGGAAGTTGCTGTACTCCGGTCATGAAGAGGAAAATATTTCACACACTTAGGGAGTTGTTCTGATACTGTCCAAACAAGCACGAAATGCACTTATAGGATGGGAATCTCATGAACCCAGAATCATCAAAGCATTATTCAAAACAAAGAAGGAGGGAATCACAATGAGTGCTATCCAGTGTTATGCATCCACCAATGATAGCAACAACGACAATAAAGATCAGTTCTATGCAAAGCCCCAATCGATGATAGCGAAGTGTCCAGGAAAAGACCTGATCATCTTATTGGGAGACCTAAACGACAAAGTTGGAACACACAACACTGGACATGAAGATACCATGGGACAACATGGACTGAGAGAGAGAGAGAGAAATAAAAATGGTGAGAGATTTGCAAACCTAGGTGCATTCAACAAATTGGTTTTAGCTCGCACAATATTCTCACACAAATGCATACACAAAGCCATATGCATCTCACCGGATCACATAACGGGGAACCAGATCGATCATATTTATATCAATAAAAGATTCAATAGGATTATGGAAGATGTGAGAACCAGGAGAGGAGCTGACAGCTTCAGATCACCATCTGGTTGTGGTCAAGATGAAACTGAATCTAAAGAAACACTAAACAGCTGGGAAGACAGTAGTACGAAGGTTCAACACAGCCTTCTTACGAGATACTGTCAAACTCAACGAATTCAAGATAACTCTTAACAACAGGTTCCAAGCCTTAGACGATCTACTGTAAGAAGAAACTACGGTGGGAGACAACTGAAATGGGATCAAATAAGAATTAACTTCAATGTGTCAGGAGATGCTGTATCGCAAGCAGCATCATCATAAGGAATGGATCTCTATTTAAACCCCGGGCAAGATTCAGGAGAGGAAGAACAGTAGGCGGCAATTAATAACAGTCGAACAAGAGAAGAGAAGGTCAAGGCACAAGCTGAATACACATAAGCAGACAAGCAAGTGAAGAAGAGCACTAGAATCGACAAGCAGAAACATGTGGAAGAGCTAGCAACGACAACGAAAAATTCTTCAAGAGAAGGGAATATAAGACAGTTATATGATACAACGAAGAAACTAACAGGAAAATAAAGTAAACCAGAGACTGGTCAAGGACAAAGAAAGCAGGACAATCACTCAGATTCAAAAGCAGAGGAACAGATAGGTGGAACACTTCAAGGAACTCTTTAGTAGGCCAGCTCCACTGAATCCACCGAACATCGAAGCAGCACACACAGACCCTCCTATAGATGTCAATCCACCAAAGATCAGAGAAATCAGGATGGTCATCAGATAAATCAAGCGTGGGAAAGCAGCGGGACCTGACAATATACCATTTGAAGCAATGAAGTCAGACATAGAAGCGATTGCAAAAATGCTCCGTGTTCTATTCAGGAAGATTTAAGAGAAAGAACAAGTGTCGATAGACTGAAAGGAAGGATACTTCACCAAGATACCAAAGAAAGGAAATCTGAGCAAATGTAAGAACTACAGAGGCACCAAACTATTAACAGTACCAGGAAAGGTTTTCAACAAAGTGTTGCTGAACCAGATGAAAGACTCAGTAGACGCCCAACTTCGAGATCAACAGGCTGGATTCTCTAAGGATCGGTCATACACAAACCAAATCACTATGAACCACCGTTGAACAATCATACACATAGTTCCCCTTATTATCTCAAAGAGAGAAAGAAGGAAGATTGGTGCAGAATAATATGAACTAATTTTATTTCGTAGCTACATCATGATATATATATTCATCTTTAATCACCCTCTTATGTATAAGTATGTCAATATCTGTAATAACGTTGATTTTCAAATATTATAGGTCGTAAGCAGATGATGAGAACCTAACGAAATAAAATGAATTCATATTATTATGCACAAATCTTCGTTTTTTCTATTTAAGTTGAACAATCAATTGAATGGAACTCGTCACTGTACATCAAGTTCTTTGACTATGAGAATGCGTTTGACAATGTGGATAGGGAAACCTTATGGAATCTTCTTCGGCACTACGGTGTACCTGAGAAAATCATCATCATCATCGGGAATTCATATGATAGACTACACTGCAAAGTGGTGCATGAAGGACAGGTGACAGACGCATTCTAAGTGAGGACCGGAGTAAAACAAGGCTGCTTACTCTCTCTCTGACTTTCTATTTCTTCTGGTGGTTGACTGAATCATGAAGACCTCCACATCTGACGGAAAGCACAGAATACAATGGAAAGCTTGCATGCAACTAGACGATTTGGACTTCGCAGATGACCTGGCTATTCTATCCCATACACACGAACAAATTCAGGTTAAGTCAACTAGTGTAGCAGAAACCTCTGCATCAGCAGGCCTCAACATACACAAGGAAATAATCCAAGATCGTGAAATACAACACGGAGAGCATCAATGACATCACATTTGATGAAGCTCTGTAATATGTGGGGACTTTCACGTACCTGGTGAGCATCATCGATAAACAAGGAGCGTCCGATGCTAACGTAAAGGCAAGGATTGGTAAAGCAAGGACCACAATCCTACAACTGAACATACGGAACTCAAAACAACTGTCAATTAATATAAAAGTCAGAATCTTCAATCAGAACGTCAATACAGTTCTACTATAAGGAGGTGAGACTTGGAGACCTACCATAAGCATAATCAAAAGGTACAAGTATTTATAAATAGTTGTTTACTCAAGATACTCAATGTCCATTGATCGGATACCATCAGCAACAACCTTTTATAGGAGAGAACAAACCAGATCCCAGCTGAATAGGAAATTAGAAAAGACATTGGTGGCATACATTACCGAAGTCACCAAACCGCATCACAAGGACTGTAATAACTTGGAATCCTGAAGGTAAACGGAAAAGAGGAAGGCCAAAGAACACTGTCGGGGATTGAAAGCAGACATAAAGAAGATGAATAACAACTGGGAAAAACTGGGAAGGACTGTCCAGGACAGATCTGGATGGAGAATGCTGGTGGGTGACCTATGCTCCCCCGTGAGGGGTAACAAGAGCAAGTAAGTAACTTTAAAACCACGCTTTACACCAAAACATTTGAAGCGATTGAAGTATTTTTAGCTCAGTTACCAAGTACAAATTAGTGTACTTGACTCCGAGCCAGATCGTTCTAACCAAAGTAGGTGAGATAGGACTCTAGTCCGCGAATCATTAGCGGAAAAATGCTGGAAACCTAAACTACTGGGGCACGGCTCCATAACAGAATGATGTAGTGTCATGAACCAACAGTTACATAATCAATTTAAAATATTGTACTAACGATAGGATTGGGCTGTCGAGAGATAAAAATATAATTTATATATATATATATATATATATATATATATATATATATATATATATATATATATATATATATATATATATATATATATATATATATATATTCAATTACCATATTATCGAGCATTCCAGGAGATGTAGGTTTGTTTATTGATCGTAAACCGAGCCACATAAAAACATTGTCCGGACCAATTTGAGCGAGTGAATTAGAATCGTTGGAATTACGTGAGCTGCCATTAACGATTCGATCAGACTTTTTAGAGTAGTTGTATCGATTTGAGAAGAAACCATTTACATGTACACCATATCGTGTAATACCCAGAAGACTCGATGCTGAACGTTCAATTTTTAATAATACTTTTTCACGGTTATGAACGTAAACGCCATAGTCCTATTTTAAAATCAATAAATCAATAACCGTTTACACACTTCTGATAATAACAACAAAATATTTATGGAGATATGTTGGCGAAATTCAAGAAGGCACCACTTTGAATAAGTACTCATATGATTTATCTCAATATAAGGTTACTAAACTGATATTATTTAACTACCTTATCGATTAAAATGCTGAGACTAATTAGCTACAGTTAGTCTATTAATGTAATTTCACACGGTTGTCTATTAATCAAATATCTAGGCAGTAATGAACCTGACTATGATGCTTAAATCCACATTTACAAGCTGTGGGAACTTCATTAAATGCCTCGAATTTAAATATCTAATAATGTTCAGATAAAATCACATAATTCATGTAAAGCTGTAACTTAGATGTTTATGCAGCTAACTTTTATCTACTGTGTCAGAAATTCGACACTTATTTCATCCGCTATAAATGGACAAATCAAATATTTTTTTGAACTTTTCAAACAACGGGGCTTCAACCCAGTTTTGAAGCATGATAGTAGTTTAGCAGTAATTATATAATTTTCAATAAGTATCGTTATATTATAGCACAGAACATTAATTTTGTTAAAAGTAAAAACATAAGTCAAAGGCTCTTTTTAAAGTAATTTTCTAGAAAGACAAGTAATTGGAAGATAAATCACAATACCTAATAAGTGAAACTTTGAATTATGATAGAATAGTAAGGAATAGGCATATAGCAGACTACTCAAAATTAATAGCTTACATGGATCATTTAATATTCTGCATTAATAACGTACAGAATGACTATATGTTTTGTAGTGACTGAATTTCGATTTCATTAAAATCGACATAACAACTACGCGAAATGATTATGAATTCAAATACAAGTGATGTGATTACAAATTTATTTATTTCTTACGAAACTGTGTCCGAACGATCCAGGCATAAAGTAATTCATAGTTCATAAAAAGTAGAAAGAACGAGAAAGTGTATATCACATAAAACTTCAGTGAAAGAAACCACAAACCCAATGGTTTAGTATCACTACATTTCAATGATAACCAACCAATAAGTGGTGAACCACACAGTTAGGTAATCGATTGACCTACCTTATAAAGGTCTGGTGATTAAAATAAAATGGAATCACCATAGGAAACCTCAGGTCATACTAAGAATAGACTAAAGAAGTCGACAGGTTACAAAAAGTCTTTACCGAAGACTATAGTTGTTCTGAAATATTTGTTCAATCTTTCTGAGGTATCTCAGGCCTATAAAATTAAAAAAGAGCAACAAGAGCATCTGGAACAAATAACTCACCTCGTTTCTCCATCCTTTTAGAGCCTTGAAAGGACTTGTGGTCCGCAAATCTTGCATCACTTCTGCCACTGCATTGCTGCGGTCATTCACATTTATCATGGCCTGATGCACTGTAATACAATGATCACCGTGTTGCGGATGAGAAATCTTCACAAAAACATTTGCATATTTCAATAACCAATCCAAAAACATTGGGTGGATGAATCCGACAAAGTAGCCATCGAGCAAAAACTTGTAGCACTTATCTCGGATGATCCTTGAAGAATATATAATGCAAACAAACAATATGTAGGCAGAATGAAGTGAACAGAAACTTGGTGACCAGAATTATGCTTATTAATAAAATCAATCAAAGTATCCAATAAAACCTTTAAAAAGATATTTGATCATCTTATTTCAAACTGTAGGGAGGACAACTTTCTGGGGAAAATCTTGAGAAAATACCACCTTACTTCATAAAATATTTTTTACAATACCATAATCAGATAATCCTTGAAATCATGACTTTTCCTTTATTCAAATGAGTTGCAATTATTACACGGGTGTGAAAGGAATGCCGAAGGTTAGGTTTTTCAGATGATTTGTATAATAACTGAAGTTAATGGAAGTAAATAGAACTTTTTAAACTAATGAATACTGTTGTGTTCATATTAAGCCTAAGGCTTTGTGCAACGTTAAATTCTCAGAAATAAATTAATTAATGACTAGCATAAATTACACTGAAGGTTAAGAAGTACAATATAAGGATTATCACAAATTAAATTCACCCAATGAATCACCTCTCTGATAACAATTTCAGAACAACACTGTTAATTATTTTAAACAAGCGACTATTAATTAAAACACTGGAAGAACCACAAAATGGGGAATTACAAAACAATTCAGTTTTGAGTCCTAACAAAACAACAAAGATCAACATGTTTCCCCCAACAAAAAGTTACACTAACTATCCAGGTATATTCATTTATAAAGTTTTAGATAAGACATGAAAGCAGTGAAACTGGAATTACTGTTAAGTCTGGACACATACCAGTCAGTTTTTAAATAGTAACATTCACCAAATAAAAGTAGTAATCAGAAACAGTTTCACATCACCAGAACTCTATAAAGGCATGGGGAACCTAAGGATATAGAAATCAGACTATAGATCAAGAATCCAGTATGATATAACTAGATGAAGTTACAGAACGAAATTTAAGTGTATATCACAGCTAGGTACCATACCCCTATTGCTTTAAATTAGATCGATGAATTCCGGCTATAAATTTTGCATCTGAATTGAGACGTTTGTAATGATTCACACACAATTATTTGTACAATCGAGTAGAGGATATACTCAACGCAAATATCAGAAACACAAAAATCTGTTTCGTTAGGAGACGTAACTAGAAGTCCCCTCAGTTTGTTACCCGAACTACCAGGAATGAGAAAGAATAAACATAGACTGAACAACCTGAAAATCGTCACAAGACTGAATTGACAAAGTTACTTCCAGAGAAAATCTGCCAAAGGGTAACGGTTCAACAAAAACAGCAGCAAGAGATGTCAAAAAAAACAGTATAATAGGACGGCAAATGAAGTGAAATAACAAGATATGAACCAATCATGAGATAAACAGAATATAAGCCATAGCTATTAGATTTAGTCATGAAACTAATCTTTTAGTCTCTACTCAATAACTTTCTAAAACTGAAGAGTATTGAGTAAAGTACTTACGCGTAACAACCACCACAATATCTGAAGACCAGTCGCTTTAGGTTACCTATCTACCTACCAACAAGACAAACTTTATCGTTAGCTATGTAATATACAAACTACCTGTTCTAAATATGTAGTACATGTGAAGCCTGGTCTGCCGCCAACATAAGATCTTATGATGCTCTTTTGTTCCAATATACATATGGTGTATTTTGAAGAGCGGTATTAGAATAAGTTCACACAAATCCTATTACCTCTGCTTGACAAAAACTTCGAAGCTTATTAGTGTAATGAACCGAGATCGCTTTCTATGTCTGATTTTTAACCAATCACTAGAGAATAAAGGTGAATAGGATTAGTTGAATAAGATTAAATTCTGGTAAGAACTACCGGATAATAGAAAAGTTAACAGTTGAGCTAATACACACCAATAGACTCAAAACAAATAAGTCCCTAGAGATTATAGTTCATTTCACTAGGGATTAAACTACCAAACAACCACACTTAGTTTAGCTGCAACATATTTAAACACGTCAACTTTGAGTTCAGAAATTCATTTAAGACTAAGAATAAATATAACTTGTTCTACATGGTGTTTCACATCCTTATAGCTCGCTAAGACCATGTAGAAAAGCTTTAAAAATCGTATTCCGGCTACAGTCATTTTTTGTTCCTTGCCAAAAACATTTTTCAATACTGGACGAAACAAAACTCAAAGCAAAACATAATAAATGTATAATTTGTTCACAACGGACCAGTTTAATCAACCAAATGACTAATAAACTATGTTTTGAAAGGATAGCTACCATGAAATAATCATAAGGATGTTTTGTGTAAATAGCAGCCACCATGGTTATATCGTCAAAGCATACCATGTGGTACGCTACACACGTACGTTTATGAGGCTCAAATAAATGATAACTCATGTCTATTGTGCGTAGTAATTGGAAACAAAGTGAGGACAAACGTATTTAGTCTTACATTGAACTCACCAGGAAGTAAAAAATTATTGCACTTGTTCAGGACTAAGTTGCGTAAACTGAAGAAAGGCGTCACAGCCATTCACGTACAGAAGCTCTGAACGAACTACCCAAGGACCAAACACCCGTTAACTCTCTCTCTCTCTCTCTGTACTGATTTTTATGATGGAAGATAGAAATGAGGAACACAATGGGTAGAAAACACGACTAATCAAAAAATATTTCAACTGCGAGTCATTCTTTGATGGCTGAACCGAAAGCCTTGAACATTAGGTTATTTTAAGAAAAGACCTTAGCTCTGTAGCTATACAGACAGAAAAAATTGAGAAGTTTCCAATACCCAATGTCTTTTTGACAAGCTAATGTAGACCAGACGATATTTTTGCTCTCACCCGTTTTCGTTTTTTTAATGTTCCAGATCTTTGATATCGTCAAACGGGGGTTGTCTAACCACATGACTGTATTGGATCTAGTCAGTTTGATTATTATTTGTGGGTTTGTGTATTTATAAACCTGAGTGAACGCGCTTGTCTCAAGGCACTGAGGTTTCTGGGACCAGCAGCAATCACATTTCCAGGAAGGAGGCTTGTCAGTTGCAGGATGAAAAATAATGAAAGGATTCTAATGCACAAGAGTAGGGAGAAGACCAAAGGTAATAAGTAAATAAATAATTCTATCGGTTAGTTTTATAGTTTGAATGAACAGGAGCATGGGAATAACCGTTAAACACAGTTGATGAGTGAGATGGATCGAAATCGTCTTTAGGTACTGGCTAATAATAATGATAGTAAATAAGCTGTTGGACATGCGTTAGGTACAACTAATTCAGGCAGTGGATGATAATCCATTGGTGAGTACTCGGTTGCCCAAACTTTCCTTGAGCCTATCCACCGAAGGGTTTGTTACTGCTTTGGTTGGGTGTACTAAAAACATCGTTACAACGTGTTGATGCAGAAAGTGGACGTTATGTAAAACCAGATACATAGCCTATTAGTCATCAAAAAAGAAGCTTATTCAAGGATCGTGAGTATCTTTTATGTTTTTTCTCACGTTTCCCGTCTTGACATGTATGACAATCGGAGCATATCAACTTGAAATCATTATTAAGATAGTGGCTAGGTCCTAGGTTTTCTCATGATGATAAGGAGAAACTTAGATTAGTTGATCCGCAGCGATATGAATGTTCAGAGATTCCAGGGGTCCATTTGGTTTCTGTTTTTTAAGTTTTAGTAACAATGGACGAGCATTCATCTTTATTCAAATGATCTTTCGTGCTGAATGTGCCGACCGTGGAAGATTATATACTGGATGTTGAATGGTTGGTTAGAAGTGGAACACGATGTATACTGCTGCGGCTCCGGTGTAATATCGTTCAGATTAGACAGTCAAACAATGGGCATTAAATTGTTTTAGACTGTCATCACTTATCTAGTAATGTTAATAAGTTCAATAATAACTATCATAGTTTTCAACTCAGCAAAGCCTTCTCGGATTGTTACTGGTTTTGTCATAGGGGTGTTATCTAATTAAATCCAAGGTTTATTAAACCTTTGGAGTGCCACTTTTCAAAATTTTTAGTTACTACCATAGTCTCTTGCACTTTGGATTTGCTTTTGTTAATTAGTTGTATCTGTCAATCATGTGTACTTAAGTGAATTAGAAAAACCCACGAAAACAGTATGTGTATGAGCAAGTACAGCGTAGGTTATCAGTAGTTAAACGCAAAAACTTTCAACACTCAATAAGACAAAACAGGAAACATAACGCCAGCATAAAATAATTGATTAAACAACTATGCTTTCTGATCACAAAGTCCTTATCCTGATGGTAAATTGTAGTTTACTTCCAAGCAGCCTGCCTATTGCTTCTTTTCGTTCTTCTTGAGAGTATTCCTTTTCAACTGAGTTCGATTTTTTTCAGAGTATTTAACCATGTTTTATTGACATGCGCAACTACTATCCCTGACTCCATTCGTGCTTTTGATTTTGAGGATTTGTTTTAGGTTCCGATAGTGATCTTGAAGAGTTGTAATGAAATCAACCTCTCGGCTATTGAATAAAAGGGATATGAGGCTCACGAATGCACTAGAATTTCTCTCGATTTTTGCTTTATTTCGGGCTTTAGACCCGTCAAATTTTATTCTTGTTACCCAGGCTAAAAATAGATTAGATTTAACACTGCTCAGATCAAAAGGGTTCGAAAACCTGATCTGCAACACTGAGTGGACAAAGCTGCAGCGTCAGTTAAATGATTATAAGCCCTGACCAGATTATCCGTCTAATTAAGTGTTATCCAAACACTGAATGCATAATGCTTAGTAGTTAATTAAAGTTAGAAGTCGGGGCTGGTCAGTTTGAGGTGACCACCAAGAGAAATACTTGCGGTACATATGACAGACCACTTGCCCCTTGTAAATGACTTCTCTGTAGAGTGTCATCTCGAATAGATTTTTCAAAATTTATCGGCTTTCTAGGAGTAATGGAGAGTCGAGTCAGATTGGTCACCAAGTTAGAGCGGAGCAAACCAGGGAGTCATCGCTTATAAGCCTCCGATTATTGTACCTTTGAGAATGAACTTGCAGAATTATGGTCTACCACGATATTAGTACTGCACTGATAATAGACCTAATCCTAAAATTGTATAGTTGTCATGATACAACTGCCTAATCTATAAGATCTTACGTGGAAGTCATACCATCGTCTTCACCAACTCATCGTAACGATCACCAATACGTGATGTAGAATAAGCTTAGGCTAGGGATTAAATAATATATTTGATATGAATGAAAGATATAAGATAAAATTCAGCAAGGACCACGCCCGCAAGGCCGAGCAATGCCATTCAATCAACTTCAATTAGTTCAACTCCTTGTTGCCGCCTTCTCCATCGTTAGGTATTTTTCCGCGTTAAATATTGAATATCTATTTTCCGAGTTGTCTCGTGTTCAGCCTTGAGGATTGTGCGGTTATGGTCTAATGCCACTACAAACTAATAAGAGAAACGTATATATTTGTCCCTTTTCCTGCAAGTGAATACGACCAAACCGTACTTTGTTTAAAAGCCTTTAGACTAGTATAACCACCAAAGAGACGTCGAATACAAGCATTTATCAGCAGATAAATTTAAGACACTAGTTTTGCGTTGGACACGGTTCTAATCATATTAATCACGACTGCAAATTGCGGGAAATATTTAAACAAATTAAACAAAAAGCAATTCAAAGAAGGTTTAGTGGTGAAATATAAAGTACGTCAAGTAAATAAATCTTCAAATGATTAAGAAATATTTGCGTGTTAGAGAGCAAGTAATGGCCCTGTTAACCAAGAGTACTTCATAGTAGATATTTCAGTCAACTGACCCAGAAAATAGGTAATCGATCGTTTTAACTGCAATTCACATCTCTGTCAGCAAAAAAGGAGACTTGCAACCCTTAGGACTATTCGAATCAACCCGTTAAACATTAGTTATTATAAACTACGGTCACTCAGTAATACAGTCTATGTAATCCAGCGATAGAATAAAACAGGATCACATCAGGGGATAAAAAACGTAATTACGAGGAGACAAACGACAAAAGTTGCAGACAGAATGAATGCCCCTGATCCTATTTAGGTCAAAATATATTGTGAGAACAAAGACAGCACAAAACTTGATAGTTTCCAGTAGATTGGGCATTGGGTAGTGGGTTAATGATACATGTATTTTTGTTGTATCCGAATAAGTAGAGAAATTGTATTTCTGATGTTTCGTGACTTAATCTGAGCCACTTCTTCAGACTTAAGAGGTAACTGAAATTAGGTTGGCACAAGATCAAATAGTTCAGAGGAAACAATGTCGAGTAATTTCGGTGAAGGTGAATTTGCGTGGCCTGTTACTGCATTAATTTGTGTGTCAGATTGTAGGCGTGAAAAATGTGCGCATTTGTGATATGAAGTAGTGGGTTGAGATTATATGTCCGTGTGTGTGTGTGTAAAAATGATAAAAAGTAACGTCAAATGTGATTGTCTGGAAAAACAAACCAGGTTTAATTAATATTCAGACCCTCCTTCTCATTAAGGGCAGAGGGATTTAGCATTATGTGAAACGCTTCGGCTACCCGCCCCCGTTTATAGTTAGAAAAGCCTTTTTGAATTACTTCAACTATTGAAATTACTTTGATATTTTATATATCAACTTGGTGAATACTGAAAATTGCGTGTTTTGGTGTAAATGATTTATTCAGTAAATTTTCCATTTCTATGGGATTATTAGGACTTTTTGTGTATTTCAAGTGTCCCTTGGTACGAGTTGAAATCTCACGGGAATACTCCATCACAACCGACACGGCCTAATCCTTAGACACATTTTTGTGTGGAAGTGAACGGGATCGTATATTTTGTTCAAATTAAAGCGTTTCTTAAGATGATAGTTGTCTTATAGAAAGCTTTAATTTTGTAAATTTTCAATACCCGTCGTAATACTTCGTTTTACCTTGACGGCAAGGTAAGCAACAAAAGTAACCGAACAAATATCATTAGGATTGCTATTTTGTGAAGAGAATAACGACATCTTTATTTTTCACTTAGTTGTTGATACTATTTACGTTTCTTTTTTAATTCCCATAATTTGTAAGTTTACTACAAATGACTGTCAAAGTTATTAAGAAACGGGCGTGACACTAACTACCTCAGAGGACGACACACTGGTAAGAGCTCGCGAATACACTGCTACAAACACACGTCTCTTGTTCTCGATTGCCTGTTGTTACGATAACTCAACTATAAAATATTTATCTATATTAGTAGGCCACAGCCATGTTTTCCATTATATATCTCATATGGACATACCGCTGGAATTATAACAAACTTCATTAAAATAATTGATCACCCATAAATGTGAATTATTATACAAAGGCCTGCCAATTTAAGTAATGGCCCGTAACTTTATAAGTTACATTTAATATATTAAAACATTAATTTTTGGATGTGATAAATTTATTGTCACTTTTGAGTTAATATAATATCAGATCCACCACAATTATCTGGTGTGCCCGAGGCAATTCGAACATGCAGCCTTCTGATCTATTTTCAGACGCGTCACCGTTGTCCCACGAGACAGTTTTGTCCCAATATTTTTTGGGAAGTTGTTAGAACCTAGCATGTTTGTTACATTTCCTTTTTCTTTCAGCTTATCTTTCCCAAAGATAATGATTTTTATTGCTCTTTTGGAGAGATTTAGGGCTAAGAAAATTTTTTTACTAAATGGATATGCAGAGTTAAAATCAATAAACCGACTTGAATGTATCGGTTTTCGGTATATTGCTAGATCTAAACTTTTATCAAAATTCCTTTTAACTAAACAGTCTAAGAATGGCAGTTCATTATATTCATCTTCCTTTTCGGAAGTGAATTTGATGTGTTCTGAGAGCATGTGTTTAGGAAAATTTCTAGGTAGTGTCTCTTTAATGATGACAAGTATGTCGTCTACATACCTGAACCCGATGCGTGATCTGACGATGTTGGCGAAAAACTCGTCTCAATGTCGGACATAACAAAATTTACAACGATTGGTGATACTGAGAATTGTATGGAAATTCCGTTTGTTTGTTTATATAGTCCTCTTGAAAGTGGGGAGTGTCGAATTTAAGCGTAATTTGAGGGACGTGATGATAAAAATAATGCTTAAAGGGCATCTGCTCGATAGAGTGTGATCGTTCTTCAGTAAATCAGAAGTGTAGTTTAGACACCTATCAATTGGAATACAGGTGTATAAAGATACAAAATCGAAGCTTACCATTGTTTTGTATTTGTTGATAGATAATTCCAAGATCTGTAAAATTATGGCCCCGCCATTGTCTACACTAACCCGTCATATCGTACCTATCAGCAAGGTGTCTGACGTTTCTAAAGAACACATTTTGGCTGGAGGTAGAACGATATTATCCACAAGCCATTGCTGAAGACTGTGACATGGATCGGTCAGTAATCAAAATGTAACTGGATTCTATACCAACACTTGTCAACGGCGAACAGGTAGCTACATTATTTATAAACAGGTTGGAGTCTCAGTAAGTGTTCTGGTAGCATATATCTGGTCTCCCCCCCCCGAGCTAAAGTGCTCAGCCACACATAAAATGCAGTTAGGTAGTCAATGAAGAGAATCGGGACAAGTGAAGCTAAAAGACAGTTTTAAAGCTGCTGACTTAGCAGTGAGATATATTAGGGTTAATGCTTATAAAACAACAACACCTCACTTTGACTCATACGTAAAATTTCGCAACGAGGAAGCTATCTCGCGATATATTCTCACCCCAAGGCCAGTACAAGTCAAACACAATGGAAAACGAATAAAATTGTCTATTTAAAATCTTTGGAAGTACACCAGCTGCCTATCTTCCAGACTCGCATGATAAGACTGAAAATTAACAAAACGTTTGATCTCAGGTTGTAACACAAGACGTTCAGCTTCATTATAACCTCCTTCGGTGTGCGAGTTCATCTTCTGGATGAGAAATGAAAAATTATTCAATGCTTCCGATTCGACGTAGAATCTAGATGTCGCTAGAACAATGAAAGGAAAACAATAGTGAGAAAACATACCCGGAGTCATTATTTTTAACGGGATAAGTTAAGGTATTAATCCATCAGCAAGTTAGAGTTGAATAAACATGTTTTTTTAATCTGAAAGTTTTAAAACATTTCGGATGATTGTTACTAGGAAACTAGGAAAAATGAGTTATTCAAAATGGCTCACTTGGTTATGGATGGAACAGTGAAAGCTTTCACATAACCAGTTCTTATTCTGGGTACAAACGGATCCGTAAGGCCTCCAGGTATATACCTAGGCATGTATTTCTAGCGAAAGTAATAGTAGTACTCGTAAACTGGTATGAAATACTGTTCCAAGTGTCAAACATATTAATTTACCTTACGAGGAGTCCAGAGTAGGTTCTTGAACCCGTTTACTCGGTGATGAGATCTAAGGTTAAACTACTCTTGTGGAGTAGAAGATGTACTATTTATCCAACTAACTCTAGTTTCCAAGGGTTTTTCTCAAAGTCCAAGTTGATACTTTTTACTTAGGTCGTTCAAAGGACAGTCTGGAGCGTTTGTCATGCCATAAGTTGGTGAACCGCACCCTCTTTTCGCCCGAATACTAAACTGCTTGGTTGGCTTTTGGATGTACGGAGTATGTTGCTCCCCTGAAATAGAACTGTAAACGCTATGTTACCACACTCCAAGTTGGATCAAATAAAACTGTAACGAGTTGGAAAGGTATGCGTTTGAACTGATGAACAATTCACTTCGAGGTTTCAGTGCAAATTATGATGTAAGTGTATTTTCGTCACAATGTGAATGATAATTTAGGTCGCAGCAATCAGGACACCAAGATCTTTTTGGATTAATAACATTTACCGAGGGACATCGACCAAGTTTTATGTGTATTTGTATCTCAAAGTGTTGAGGGTGAGTCCGTTCTGTATGCTCTACTTTAAAGGAGTGTCGAATCCTCCTGGCATGTTCGCTGGTCGTCCTGATTCCAAACTTCTCCCTAAAACTTAACACCAGTAAAAAGTAATATATCGTCCCGGTAAGAGCATTATCCAACTTTAGGTAAATGAAGCGAATTGACGAGGTTTTCATGAGAACTAAAGTAAACAGTGAAGATAGTCATGAAGCGTTTAGAGGTTGATTACCCGGAGATATGAATCCAGTGGTGACAAAGACAGTTGCTCGTGGGAAATGTCAGAAAAAAGATGGTGTATTACAGGAACTGGAGTTTTAGTCCTTTTTGCTCGTGGAAGATTCAACTGTAGAGTAGGAGCAGAAAACAATCCCCAAAAATAAATAGCTTACCAATCACTAAACACTCATGCTGATCGTGTTATTCTTAACAATTAACAAATAGTTGGAAACGCTAGGTTAAGCATCACTACTAGATCCTAATACGACCAGGTGTTAGATAATTTTCCTGCCCTAAATGGTCAATTTATTCGCCTTAGGTCACGCCACATCTGTGTACGATCAACTATGTTCTTCTGCCCAACAGTCGTGGACGTTTGCTTTGTTTGTTTGCGGGTATTCTGTTAGATATTCAGTTGTTTGTATGAGCTGATTCTTCAGTGCTAAGGATAATATCAGAATTCGCATTAGGCTCATATTCACTATTCCAAGTTAGCTTAGCATATTTGTTTCCATTAAAGATATGTAGCATCTATATTGAATCATCTATATTGCCCGGACTTTGGCTTTAAAATAATAAGAGAAGTGTCCTAATCTCTAGGTCAAAGACGTCATTAATCAGACTCCACTATGTTAATGAGACCTCCTAACTGCAATACAAAATCAGAGCCAGTGTTGGCTTATTCTATCGCTTCTTTTTTATAAAAATTGTTCCAGAGAGCTCTCTGTTGTCTTTTGTATGAGATAAAGATCCGTAAATTCATTTGTATTCAATTTGACCTAATTCTGAACTTTTACTATCTGGTTAGTAAGACTGCACAGCAGCGAAGCGAACACGTTCTGTTTTTTTCAATCTAACTAATGGCCTTAGATACGTATTCCTTTAGTAATATGCAATTCACCGTTCCAATCAAGATCTCAGTGTAAATTTCTCTGATCTAAAATAGGACTTTTCTGTTCAGTTGGTGTTTATTCAATGATGTCTTGACCCTTATCCAACAACAGCAGCGGGTTTTGATGTGATATGCTTCACAAACAAAATACCAACCCTGTAAAAGATCGGCTACCTTTTACAGTGACGTTCATCTCGGCCATATTCTGTTTTATTGGATTTACAGTACACTGTTACTTATTCACTCCGAGGAGTTACGAGACTTTTACATACTTATCTCTATACTTTAACTGCGCTATCTCAACAGATTAGTCAGTCAGTGTAGATGGTTCGGTTGAAGACGAATGGAGGAAATTAAAAACCATATTCGAGTGCTTAACTTTATCATCCATTTCATGGTCGACACGTAAGATATCACACCTCGCTCTATGGATCGATAAGGAAACTCGAAAGCAACTGAGGTGCAGGAAACACTTTTGGGATTTGTTCTTGTTAATATACCACGGATCACTTAGGTGTGAATGCTGAAAAACCCGGAATGTATATAAGTAAACCGTAGATAGACGCTCACAATTTATGACAGTTGTTAAAGGATGGCCGTACTCGCGAAGAATAATTGTTTCCGTACGTTTAATGTAGAACAAAACGTAGTGAAAAACTTTCCCCATTGTTGTTGTACGAAAATTGAGATATACTAGCTGAATCGGATTTGGCCGGAGCTGAGGATTTATCGACTCATTTCAGAGGGGTCTACTTTATTGACGTTGTTAACAACACTTTTCATAATTACACCGATGAGACGCTAGCCACTGAACTATTACATGTAGCTGAGGAGACTATCCTTCAATTAACCAGTCAACCCTGACCTTGACAGACACCAGGTCCTGATAGGGTACATTCTCGATTGCTGTCATCTCTTGCAAACACTATTTCAGGGACACTAAAGATGCTGTTCAACATATCCCTTTCCAAAATCCTACTTCTTAAGGGTTGGAAAATGCTATAGTTAGTCTTTGGGAATAAAAGGACTTATTCGTGACTTAAAAACAACTGCATTATGTACTGGAGCAGCTGCCGAAGGTTGTCGAGAGTTTTGGTCACGTCGCCAAGCGTTCAAGTGCTTCGATGAAAACATACTTCGGATTTAAAGAGGTCCGCCAACCTACTATCGTAGTTACTGGAGACTGATTTATTATATGATAACGGGCCGTGACCCACCAACTTCTTTTATCAGTCAAGAGGTAACCAAGTATTATTATACCTTGCACTAAAAAATGGGCTTGGTACTATCATCATCCGTCATATAGGAAGAAATCATCAGAAAGCTCAAAGACCACGATCCCGTTCACGTCCAAAGTTTCGCTTCAGGGACCGTCATCAGTTACCGACGTCAATACCATTGGTTGGCGAGTTGTAAGAGAAGCTGGGTCTTCTCAGTGCTACAACTCTTAGGGATTAGTGAAGGTCACCATTTCTAATATTAATACCACTGTCTACCGAAGGAAACCGAGAGTTTAAGTACGACTGTTATCAATTATCCTGAAGATCCAAACTTGAAACAGGTTGAGTAGCCCCAATTTTTTTCTAGCATACAAGAATTAAGCATATGGAAATAAATTGATTCACATAGGCTGATTGGCACATTGAGGTGCGTGGGATATCCAAAATGGTACCAACCACTACTCTGTAGCCCTTTTTTGTGGGCTTCGTTGTATGATGGAAAGCCTAGAGAGCAATGTAAGTTGCTTGCCAAAATATGTTTCTAGCTTTGGTATCCAAATCGTTCATTTTTATCCCCGAGGACTTCCAATTTTCTAGGTAGATGTTACCGGAAATGAAGTGGAAGCGACGCGTTAGTTTCATAAATGTTTTTATGAAATCATGCTTATTTTAAAGGCCAGTTTCATTCAGAGCTCAACACTTGGCTCTCAACTAATATCTGGCTGAGTTTAGCACTTGGTGCATATAAGTTGGAGGGACAGCACAACAGTTTCTTGGTGTTGGTGTTCAGATATAGTCTTTAAATATAATACTTCTTCAGTTCATAGTCATCGTCTGTGTGAATAATTTAGTTGAATAAAGGTAAGAGGGTATAAAAGATCAGTAAAAGAATAAGTAGGTAAAAAGTCCTTATATTTCGAAATACCCTAGTTAGTGGTTGGAATCACTACTTCGACCACTACGTTTTAAGAGTTTACTTATAATTGAATTGCTTAGAAGTCATCCTATTTTGTCTAAAATTGGTAATTTCATCTGAATTTGTAAATGCTGATCAAAGATGATTAAATAGACCCTTGCTGAGTTGGGCTTACGTTCCTAAAGTAGTATTCGGGTAACCACCTGCTTTTCTGAAATACTGGTGGTTTTAGTCTCATCTAGGTTGGAAATCAAATGTTTAAGTTATCTATGTAAAAGCCCTTGTTAGGTTGGAACATATAAGTCAGTTGTGCAGACTCAAAGAGACAAAAAATTAATGTCGTGTTCCATGTACATGGGTCGTCTTAGTAGTTACTCAGAATGGTCCACCAAAACGCATCAATGCATTCTTCCAGTAGTGAGACAGGAAGTTACTGTTGAATAAATAGGGCACGCTAGCTCTACAAGTATCAGATCCCCATTGTTTTTCCTGTGGTGCAAAAGCATGATTTCTTTCTTGTGAAGTAAATTCGATACCTCTCCATTTTGATATTTTAAGCATTTATCTGGTACCACGTACCCCCACTACATGAATGTTTTCTCCGTCTTGTGAGGCATTCTCAGATAATATGACTACTAATGAAACAGTTGCAGATATCTAGTTGCAACAAGTATTAGTAAACGGGCTTAAAATCCCGCTTTATTGTGTGGGTTTGTGGGAATTGTGCATATTGAGTTGTAGTGTGTTGACATGTCATTTCGGGAGTAAATTGAGTTGAGTGCTGTTCATAAATTTACTACCAAAATGTGGTGTTTATTTAGATTGAACTGATGTGCTATTGTGCATGATTTCCGACATGAAAGCTCCCAGACTTACGTGCACGGTAGACAAGTATTGTGTGGTTGAATGAATGCCCTGCTTACTCTTTGTTACTACATTTTATCGGAATACCCTGCTAACCTTAGTGCTTACGTCCCCATATTTATTGCATTGTCACATACTAAGTTGCATGCTTAGGAGTTTAGATCCCTTAGTATTTCTACTAAGATCATGTCTATGGAATGAACTCAATTCACCCACGTGACCACTGGTTTTTCAACTATAACCCTCACTTTGCACCACTCAATATTGTAATCGCAATTGGCTAAGTCTTCACGCCTCTTTCAGTCTATTGTTTTCCATGGTTTTGGTATACTATCACCGGGATACACCCATAAGTATATGGTATGTGAGGATTTTGCATTGAACTTATGGTGGTAGGCAAAAGTAAAGCTACCCAAGTATTCTTATGAGTTCACTAGAATTCCTTGACTGATGTTTGTGTCTACTTGTTTAACTTCTTAATGTGTGGGGAGAATGATAATGAGCGTTATAACACTTTCGTTTCTCTTTTCTTTATAGTTTGGCTATCTGAGCTTAAGAGATGCGTCCCAACCACTGTCTGATCCATCATGCTTTTACTCAAACGAGCAAGTTTTTAAGGCTTATGGGAGTCTCCCAGCCAACAGTCATAGGCGAAATGCTACTCGAATATCTCGCTATGGGAATGGAGAAAGTGTCACACAACAGTCTAGTGGTTATCCTGTATTCAATCAGTGGAATCCTATTCACCGATTTGACAACATTGGTCTTTTCGGCCCCCCACCCCTAATCTTTGAAGGTGGAACAACAAATCATGGGTAACCTCAATTAACTATTGATATGTGTCTCTAATAGCGTTGTTCAGAATTCAGTTAACAAACAGTATAATGACAAACAAATGTGGTCTAAACCTTTGAAGAAGAGTGAATATGAATTGTTTGACCAACCCAAACGTGGTTTAAACTTCCAGCTGTATGATAGCATACCGGTTACTCAATCTGGACCTAATTGGACTCCTGTAGAACCTATAAAATCATTCAATGATGTTGAACTTCACCAAATAATCAAGGAAAATGTGACCAGGGCTCAATATATACACCCTACACCAGTGCAAAAGTATGCTTTGCCAATTATCGCTGCAAAACGTGATTTGATGGCATGTGCTCAAACAGGTTCTGGAAAAACGGCAGCGTTTTTGCTCCCAATACTCAATATGCTGTTTGAAGATAACCACTGTGAAAATTCAGATGCATCGGTAAATATCAGTGTTCATGTTTAGTTATTTTATAGGCACTCAATTGTACCGCATGTCCTGTAGCCTTGATCCTTGCGCCGACAAGGGAGTTATCTTCTCAAATTTATGATGAAGCCCGAAAATTTTCGTACCGTTCCAACATTAAGCCGTGCGTAGTCTATGGTGGGGCCTCCATTCTTTCCCAAATACGGGAATTATCCCACGGTTGTAACCTTCTTGTTGCAACGCCTGGGCGTCTTGTCGATATGGTGAGCAGGGGTAAAGTGAGTCTGGAACAAATCAGGTATGTTCGACTTCAGTTACCATTATTCCCCTTGTATTATCTTTAGATTTTTGTCTTGGATGAAGCTGATCGAATGCTTGATATGGGCTTTGAACCACAGATTCGTCGAATAGTCGAACAACATGGAATGCCACCAGCTGGGAAAAGACAGACTTTAATGTTTTCTGCAACATTTCCAAAAGAAATTCAGGTATAATTTCCTACTGGCTTTTTTGCAATGGTTTTCAATAGAACACTTGATCTTTAATTAAATTATGTAATAACTTTGTTTCCATTATAAACGAAATATGTTTTTCACGCTGCAGAAAGTCTAATAAAAGACGTTGGCTTGTAAATTAGTGCACCAGTTAATAAGTTCCTGCTTATTTTTCAGACACTTGCGAGGGATTTTCTGCACTCTTACATATTTCTGGCTGTTGGACGTGTCGGTAGTACCAATGAGAACATTATTCAAGAAGTTTTGAACGTAGCTGATAAAGATAAACCTGATATGTTGGTTCGACTACTTCAAGGAAAAGGTATATTCAATACTTCTTCATCTCGGTTTAATGATCTTATTGTTATTATTAAAAGTTTGATCAATTATTTATTCTGCTGAACTAAAATGAATATATCCTTTGATACTTCACTGTCATAGCCATCATTGAACTTCCTCGCTGACTGGTTCTAATGATAAACTTACGGAGATCATTGAGTTGAAGTGTAAAAGCTAAGCAAATAGTTATATTTTTTAAACTCTCAATTCCTACCCTTTAAGTAAAGATCTTAGTACAAACACACTTGCTTCGGTCTGGGCACCCGGGCAGTATCACAGCCCACGCACAATTATCATGAACTATCTATATTTATGGAAAATACTATTCTTGCTTCGATTAACAATCAATTAATTCACATTATTATTATTATTACTATTACTATTATTATTATTATTATTATTATTATTTACTACGTCATTTATTCACCCTCTGTTATTCCCACTCTGTGTATACTTGTTTTTCGACCTATACAGCAGCTTGTCTATGGTGGAAGTTCGGCTCTATCTAAGCGTTCTCGAGCCACTGCCTGGTTGGAAATTGTATGCTACCACCAAGTACGAGTACTGAAGCAGTTTTTCTGAAACCACGTGCACCATTCAAACTGGCTGCCTTCAACGTTCGCACATTTATGCAGGTCGGACAACAGATAGGGCTGGCTATGTCTTTGGAAAGTCTTAATATCGATGTTTTTTGTCTATCCGAGACCCGTATTCAAGACTCTGGCGAAGTACTACAAATTCGATCTCCATCTGTCGCTTCGAAAAGCTTGTTTTACGTGCGCTTATCCGGGGACCCTGTGGCATCTTCGTCTGGTCTTGCTGGCGTTGGTGTCGCACTAAGCGCTAGAGCTGAGGCAGCACTAGTCGATTGGATCCCCATTAACAGTCGGTTATGTGCTGTTAGATTAGAAAGTTCCATCAAAGTGAGAAGAAATCGGCGTGAGAAACGATGTCTTTTCGTCATCTCCGCCTATGCCCCGACAGATTGCAGCCCGGATGCAATCAAGGATGAGTTTTACCACCAGTTATCTGTTCTCCAGAAAGTGCGTTCGACAGATATTGTAGTACTAGCCGGAGACTTGAATGCTCAGGTCGGGCGTCTAGGCACAGAAGAGAGTCGTTTAGGTGGCCGATGGGGACTCGTTGGTCGCAGGTCAGATAACGGGGACCGTCTACTGCAACTTTGCACAGACCACAACCTGTTTCTGGCTAGCACTAACTTTCGGCACAGTCATCGCCGATGTGCCACCTGGCGTCCTCCCTCTGCATCTCAAGCCTGGACTCAGATTGATCACATCGCGATCAGCTACCGCTGGCGTGGTTGTGTACAAGACTGCCGCTCCTTTTGGAGTACCTATCTGGACTCTGACCATGCCTTGGTCTGCGCCAATCTTGCCTTACTTTTCAGTGGACAACGAAGTGACCGCCATCAACGGATTGATGTTAGCAAGCTGGTTGCAACTTCTGTTGCAAGTAAGTATCGAACCGAGCTAGCCTCTAGGCTAGCTACCACTCCACCGAAAAGTATAGATGAGCATTGGTTGCAATTGCATGACGCCATGAAAATGGCGGGAACAGTCAGTTGTGGGTTTGCGAAACGTCCCGCTTTTAAGCACTGGGTTTCTTCTGGTTCCTTACAACTCATTGAAGCCCGTCGGTCTACTCCGGGTGACCGTGAGTTTGACCATAAACGAAGGATGTTACGTAAGGAAATTGGGCAAAGCTTGCGTAAGGACCGAGAAGCCTGGTGGTCGATGCGTGCTAATGAGCTGGAAGCAGCAGCTGCATCTGGTAACTACCGGAAGCTCTTCCAGCTCATCCGAGCCACTGGCAGCAAGAAGTCTGGTGTGAGTGAAACAATCTGCGAGGATGATGGGATGCCAATCACTAACATCCATCGACGTCTTGGACGATGGGCAGAATTTTTCGAAGGGCAGTTCAACTGGCCTGCTGCTCCGGCAACATCGGTCAGACTGTCCTGCCCTCCATGGCCGGTGACGACTGATCCACCAAATGAGGAGGAAGTCCGCAAGGAACTCCAACTCTTGAAGCGTTACAAATCACCTGGCCCAGATGACTTACCTCCGGCTCTTTTTAAAGATGGTGGTGACTTTTTGACTAAGGAATTGACGACGTTGTTTACAAAGGTTTGGGAACTAGAGAGTGTACCAACGTCATGGAATGAGTCGATAGTTGTCCCTATCTTTAAAAAGGGTTCACGTCGTTCCTGTAACAACTATCGGGGGATAAGTCTACTTCCGATTGCGTCCAAGCTATTGGCTTCCGTCATACTTCGTAGGTTGTTCAAAACCCGAGAAAGATTGACTCGCGAGGAGCAGGCTGGGTTTCGTTCTGGTCGAGGATGTATTGATCATATCTTCACCCTCCGCCAAATGTTAGAACACCGCCATACTTATCAAAGGCCAACAATCGTAGTGTTTCTTGACATCAGGGCTGCCTTCGATTCGTTGGACAGGACTGTTCTCTGGGATTGTCTATTGAAGAAGGGTGTGCCTGAGAAGTTTATTAACATCCTAAAAGCCCTATATAAAAACACCTCAGGCAGAGTGAGGGCATACAACCACCTCTCTCCATTGTTCCATTCGAGCAGTGGGGTTAGGCAGGGTTGCCCAATCTCACCATTCCTCTTCAACTTTGCCATCGATGACATTCTGGAAACAGCTCTGATGAATGTAAGTAATGGTGGTGTGGATCTGTTGCCTGGAGAAAGACTTCTCGACCTTGAGTATGCGGACGATATTGTCTTACTGTGCGATAATGCCCAAGGCATGCAATCCGCACTTAATCAGTTGGCAATCAGTGTCCGTAGGTATGGTATGTGCTTTGCACCTTCGAAGTGCAAAGTACTTCTACAAGACTGGCAGGATTCTAATCCTGTACTCACCCTGGATGGTGAGCAGATAGACGTAGTCGAGAAGTTCGTGTATCTGGGTAGCTGCATAAGTGCTGGTGGGGGTGTGAGTGATGAGATCAATGCACGTATAGTGAAAGCCAGAGCGGCTTATGCCAATCTGGGCCACCTTTGGCGCCTTCGTGATGTTAGTCTGGCTGTAAAAGGTCGGATCTACAACGCGTCGGTGAGAGCAGTTTTGCTCTATGCTTGTGAAACCTGGCCTCTCCGAGTTGAGGACGTTAGACGACTCTCTGTGTTCGATCATCGCTGTCTCCGAAGGATTGCTGACATTCAGTGGCAACACCATGTCAGTAATGCAGAGGTTCGGCATCGTGTGTTCGGGCACAGAGATGATAATTCAATTGGTGTCACCATCTTGAAACACCGACTTCGGTGGCTTGGACATGTTCTCCGAATGTCGTCCCAGAGAATTCCACGTCGTGCATTATTTGCCGACTCTGGGACTGGTTGGAAGAAGCGGAGAGGTGGTCAGTGCATGACATGGTGTCGTGGTATGAAAGAAAGCTGCAAAGGACTGGCTTGTGTTGGTCCTTCACGACTCCCTGGTTGGGGTCCGAGAGATGGTGCTACACAGTGGCTAGAGACGTTATCAGATATGGCTCAGAATAGAAGCCAGTGGCGATCCTGCTGTAACCTTCTTTTACTTTCTTCATAAAAAGTGGTAGTATCTTCCTTAACTGAAAGATTTCTTCTGATTGTACCTTTTCGTTTCCCCCATTATTATTATTATGCTACCTTACCTTATTCTGTTCGTTATTGTTCTTTTTTTTAATGCTTCTCACCTTTTTTCCTTCTCCTCTTCAAATTCCAATTGTTTTGTGTGGCGCATATATATTCGGTGCCCTCTTGTACCAATGTTTATGTGTTTTTCAATAAATAAATAAAACAAATAGTTAAATAAATATTAGCTTGATCCTGTAATTGATATACTGGTAATTATCTCTTTCGAAGGGAGTGATTAGTAACAACGTCTGGGTTTAACGATAATCTGTCAGGTTATCCTTGTTAAAGTATGTTATATGTGGTTTTGTATATGCTTTGATCAAGAGCTAATTATCGATTCGGTTTTAACAATTTACTTCATATTGTACTCTTTTGGTTTTGCTAATACCGATGTGAGCTCTTGATCTCTTTCTAGATTATTCTTTAAATTGGATTCCGTTATAATCCATTCGTGTTGTGTCACTATGTTTCGTAGTTATTAGCATCATACCGCACTCAGTTGGTCAGTCTATCGAGTGAAGCATCGTGAAACAAAAAACCCATAGTTACTGCAATAATTTAGTGGGGAGAAATAGTTTGTTGTAGGATTGATCAATAGACCGTTCGCCTTCGTACTTAACAATGTTCACAATCAATAAGTATCTCAATTCATCATCTACCTGTATGCTGTTTACATTTTCGATGAATCGTCATCACTCACTAACAACAGCATAATGGATGTGATCACGTTAAAAAACAACCAGCATATTCCAATACTATCTTTATGTTGTTCTTTGACCAAATTAATACTTGAAAAACAATAGAAGTTAGTTACAATGTAGGTAACTACTTGCTGGAACTTATGGAACAAAAACTGGTAGTTGGCATACTAACTTGTATCTCTAACAGCAAGATACTCATTGAGAACTCTTGGACTGATTTACAACGACGGAAATATTACGATATCCCACAGAACACATAGCTCTAGTTTCACTAACTTCCTAACGTCTCTAATTATGTCATCATTTTGTATGGCACAAGGTGTGGTACCTGGGCAGTGTCACAGTCCACACACAAATCAAGTGACGTGTGGCTCATACGTATTTGGTACCCCTTTGTACCAATATTTGTGTATTCAAATAAATAAATAGGCGTTGTATTTTGGTGCACGTGTCCGGGATGAGAGTAACAACAGCAAGAGTACCCCGTGGGAAGTTGTTGTGATGGATGATACGTCTGCAGAAGTACGATTTCAGTATCAGGCGTGTTCCAGGAAACAAAAATGTAGTGGCAGAATACTTGTCAAGTCCAGGCGTAGAAGCTGAACTTCCACTGACAGCATATACAGTATCTAGTCTAGAGGGAGACCTGCCCCCAATTGCCCTGGTGCAGTCGAAAGTGGAGAGAGTTAGCTCTCCCTCTCAAAATGCTCCCACATGGCCACGCGTATACAGCTACTACCAGGGAAGTCCTACTCATTGCCTTCTCATGGCAGTGGTATTGCTTACGAGATTAAGAGGACCAGAAGCGAATATCCGGCGCTTTAACCGGGTTGGTGGATATGGAGGATCTACCTAGGGGAGTGCACATGGGCTCCAGGATCTTGAGGAAACAAATGGCGCATTAACCTATTGGTCGGTTACCATGGGAATGCATCTCCTAACATTGCTTCACTGCATTGTGGATTAGACCTTTAGGTCAAAGGCTCCGGGTGTGACCTAAGAAACCACCTGCTTCGGTTTGGGCGTTTGGGTAGTATCTCAGCCCTCACACAAATCAAGTGGTTTGTGTGGCGCATATATATTTGGTACCCTCTTGTACTAATGTTTGTGTTTAAACAGGTAAATGAGTAAAAGGGAGACCCACTAGAACTTGTCCGGCAACAGTATGCTGACCCTAACCTTCGAGAGTTAATCAGAGCGATAGAGGAAGGAGCAGACGTCGACAAACGGGTGATGGAAAAGGAAGTAAAAATGTTGCTGCGGCAGAAGGAAAGATAGGGTGAACGCATATGAACCTTGATTTGGCGGGATGACCACGAAAATTGGATGGCAGTGATCCCGAAGGACTTTCGACATAAGATGATACATGAATGTCACCAGATAGCGCATACAGGTGACGCAAAAACGACGGATTTACTACGACAGAGTGCATATTGGCCAGGCATGATAGACGATGTGACCCAATGTGTGTTAAGTCGCAAACAGCGACAAAGAAGCGGTATGGCGATCGGAACGACTGCGAGAACAGCCTACCAAAGGGGGGGGGCGTGGTGAATGCTACTTATATTAACAGATATAAGTTGTATGTAACACCGATCAGAAGTGGAAGGCCTGTCAAAAGAAGGTCGAACTGAAGAAAACGGAAAGGAATTGAAAAGTGGAAAAATCATGAAGAATGTAAATGCAGATGAAGTATTTAATGTATTGTTTTCACATTTTACTAGAGAACTCTGTAAATTTGTTTTAGATAGTAAATCGGTTGTCCCCACTTGGGTTCTCGTTCAGTACAGTATTTTTAGGATAGGTAAAGCAAAAATTCTCCATTGGTTGATGTTTTTCTTCAGTTTACATTGTATACCATGTTTGAAGCTTTATTTTAAAAATAAATTGCATAACCAACTTACTTGTAAATGTTAATTTAGATCCGGATGGCTTGGCTTTGGTATTTGTTGAAACTAAACGTGGAGCTGATGTTTTGGCTAAATTTTTATGCCAGTTAAATTTTCCAGTCACATCAATTCATGGTGATCGCCCTCAGACCGAACGAGAACATGCACTTCAATCTTTTAGATCTGGTCGTACTCCCATTCTTATTGCTACGGCAGTTGCTGCTCGAGGTTTAGATATACCGAATGTTAAGGTTAGTTTCTATTTCAATATATCATATAGAAAACAAGTAAATACTTTAAGTTTTCGTTCAAACTACCTTTAGACGATGAGTTTATTGGATAGTTATTTGTTAACTAGTATTCAGTGTTATGTGTAATGTGCGACATTGTACAGTTTATATTAGTTGACGATTACTTGACAATCATACCCTATCAAAAAGGGTACTGGATGTTGTTACAGGTATGCTTCTGAAATGTTATTATTAAAACATCAGTTTTTACTATAGTGATTACTATTATGATACTCACTACGTGTTTCATATTAACTTCTGCTTAAAGTTCATTAATAATTTCTGTACATCTTTTGTCTAGCAGCTATCAATAACATATACTGTTCGATATAGTCAATAACTTCGCTTAGGTGTAGATGTTTCTCAATGATACACTATTTCTTCATGTCTATGTTAAATGGTTTAGTAATCTTGTAAAGCTTCAGTGTATTTGATAAACATCACTTATAACTTTTCATGGACAACAATTTTCAACTTTCCATAGTGTATAACATCTAGATAGTAGAACACAAATAGAAATATTATTATAAAAAAAGGATGTTATAAGTGGTGTTGGTTACAAATCAAAATGCAGTTATAAAGTATTCAAGACTCAGAAGAAATTACATCCATATACCATTGTAATTGTTGTTTGTCCATTTCACCTGGAGTCTCCAATCATACTTTGAAAGTCAATATTTAATCTTGTAACTCTTAATTATTATAATGCTACCAGTGCTGTTGTTTTTTATATTCTCTGCTAAAGTTAATCTATTCCAAATTCGATTCTGTTCCATCAGCATAACACAATACAAGATGAATGTAGAACTACTGATCTGTCAGGTTAAAAGTAAACTAATCAACGTTTAAAATTATAATCAGTATTGTATTTAATTGTAATTAGTCAGTTACGAAGCGGAAACTACTTTCTGGTTTGATTATTGTATCATGTTAATCATATTCCTTTGCGTTTGTTCTTTTTCAACAGCATGTGATTAATTTTGATCTACCGTCAGATATTGAGGAGTATGTTCATCGCATTGGTCGTACAGGTAGAATGGGCCAACCAGGCTCTGCGACGTCATTCTTTTCTGAGAAAAATCAGAATGTGGTAAGAGATTTGGTTGAATTGCTTCGTGAGTCTAAACAAGCTGTACCACCGTGGCTAGAAGCACGTGTTGCTTATCCATCAGGATCAGCGAGTCGTCGCAATAAAAACATAAATAATAACGTTAATAAAAAGTAAGGTTTTCTACATCACATTCATATAAATTATTCAAAGTATCGAAATGTTTCCTTTACAGTTAACATACATTGTTTATAAATTCAATAACTATTTAATTTATATTTTTCTGAGCTTGTAGGCTCTTCCTCCATTCTCTTTTGTCAAGAAGTAATATCTTAACTTTGAGCATATTTTACATGTGATTAAGAAGTAATATGGAGCAATATTTAATGTTTTTAAGTATAGATATTTCTAGTTCATTCTTATTTGGTGTAGTTTGTTAACAGTCATCCCACATGTGTTCGTTTTGATTTAAACACATTTCCATTTCGGTAAATTATCCGTTTCTGTTTGTGAAGCAATAGTTCAGTAGTTAAGGCATCCAACTTTCAGTCACTAAGCCACATGTTCGAACCCCACTTTGCTGTAGTTTAAGAAACTGTGTACTATCACTATCTCCTACACTTACAGATTAGTAAATAAACTTAATAATCCAATTATTTCTGTTCGTCTGAGAAGTGTGCTGGCTTGAGTTGATACACTAATACATGGTATTCTATGTAGCTGTGTCTATTCATCGTTTGAAAAGGAGGCTGCTTGATACCACTAAAATTCATAATTCCATGATGATTCTTTTCAAGATTAGCTTTCAAAATAACTTGAATGAATGCGATGTGAATTTCTCACAGAACAGTAAATACAAGATTACTTTCGTTCTTCATCTAGGTTTATTAGAAATTAATTGATTTTTCATAGATTTGTATTAACGACGTAATCATTTTCTAAAGATAAAAAGTGGTTTATCATATCGATTGTGTAATTTATTCCCCTGTTATATACAATGTTAGACAACTATATTATCGTTGTGCTGGTGTAGGAAACTTCCTTATTTTATTGATCCATATTTTTGCTTTCCATTTATTTCATTTTGTTGTGTCAGTTTTTTCAAACTCACTACATGTATAAATTAGAATTAATGTAAACCCTATACCTCCCTCATGTCACCTGTACACAAACTGTTTATGACGTTTACCAACAGTTATCCCCTTACCATCTTACTTTTCTGCTTTACTTAATGTAATTAAGAAAAGTTGTCCCAACTATTCAACTCCCGAATCCGTATCCTTTCTAATAGATTATTACTCATCATAAGAACACGTAAAACTTGTTTATAGATTATTCTTGAATCTTTGATTAGAGTAAAAAGCTATTTTTGTGGTTAATAATGGTTGTTATATATTTGGAATTTTATCTAGTAATTTCATATGAGAAGGTTAACACCTCGTATCTAAACTTCACCCCATTACACAAGCAGGTGGCTATCAGGACTCAGTAGCTAAGTGGATAACGCGATGGCGTTTGAAGCGAACAGTACTGAGTTCGAGTCCCGGGGTGAACATCAATTCCGGGCTGCAGGCATGTCCAGCTGACGAGTCCCAAATAAGACGAAACGTCCGTCCTGGATTTCACTGCTAGCCACTATTTTACATTTATTTTATTTGAACACATAGATATTGGTACAAGGAGGCACCAAATACATATGCGCCACACAAATCTCATTTGATTTGTGCGAGGGCTGTGATACTGCCCGGGTGCCCGAACTGAAGCAGGTGGTTTCATTAGGGGGCCACATCCGAAGCCTCCGACCTGAAAGTCTGAACCACAAGTAGTGGAACATCGTAAGGAGATGCAGTCCCATGGTAACCGGTGACCAACGATTGGTTCATACGCCATTTGTTCACTCAGGATGCTGGAGCCCATGTGCACCATTAGTTTGGAGTCAGGGTTTTCCAACTCCCTTAGGTAAACTCTCCACATCCACCAACCCGGTTAAAGCTCCGGACATTGGCTTCCCATCCTCTTAATTTCGTAATCAACACTCCCGCCACTTAAAGTCAGTGAGTAGGACTTCCCTGGCAGAAGCTATATACGCATGGCCATGTGAGAACATTTCGAGAGGGTGAGTGAACTCTCCCCACTCTCGGCCGTACTAGGGCATTTGGGGGCAAGTCACTATCTATCTTTGCTTAAAAATCTTGTGACTTAAGGCTATATCGAGGCAATCCGCGCAGGATGCACATATGCTAACACGAAACTGATCAATTGCAGTCATAAATAACAATGGAAAGATACAAGTAAAACAACACCAAGTGAATTTAACCAAACTATTGTTTTGGACTAGTTTTGTTAAGAATGTCCGGCTAATATTCCACGTACACACTAAATTAAACATATATAAATTACTGCTAGTTTGTTGTTATTTATTATCAGTCAGTTTCAAGATATTTGTTAAAGGTCTCGAAAATCGTTTTATTGCATAAACTGTCATCGCTTTATACATTTTATCATCAAATTTCTATATTCTCTTGCCGATAAAGTGATATTTAGCTGCTTGTTTTTTATTTCATGAAAGATTTCATTCAATATAGTTTAATCCTCGACTATCAATTTCAAGGATAAATTAGGGTGATTTATTAGAGAGCCTGCTGATTTTGTTATACCTCAAGTGTGACAGTCTTTTCAGTTTTAGTGGTTGTTATTTGGACTAATAAAACCGGGTACTTTGGCTAAAATTTGATTTCTGATAAGTGTATGGTCTTTGAAAATCAGTTAGAGTACAAAAGTGTATTGTACATAGTTGTAGCGTTGTAATCTAAACACTTAAATTTCAATTAGTAATTTTTCGATCGTTTTTCTACTTCACTCCCGGTTTTAATAGATGGCTAATAGTTCTAATTCATATACAAGCCTAAATAAGACTAGTATGTTTATGGTTATCAAGTTGAAATACCATTTTCTTGAGAATAGTGTTGTCCAACGCTGCCTCTACCTTGTGTATTCACGTAGTAAATAAAGATAGTTATTATGAGGTTTCGACGCTTAACTCTGTGGATCCATACGTCGTGTGTGTGTCTGTGAGTGATCAGTTTTCATTTATTTAGGCTGACGGAGTTTCTAGTGTCTCCTTCTATATATTTTTATGTTAACGGTTGTGCTTACTTTAGAGGATGAGTTATCATTCAACATTGGTTATACTCTAAAATTTCTTTTGAATTGACTTTATAAGTGTAGATAATTAATATTAAAGTATGTACTCTTGTAATCACATTTATTTACTTGATATTCATAATTCTATATTTTAGGAATCGGGTTAATTATTGTTCATTTGACTATCGACAGTATGGTAATCGAAATATTAGCTATGTCGGTGGGTCCTTGCCCATGAATAACAATACCAATAACAATAGTAATTTACCGAATGGTGGACTTGGGCTACTTGGAAACTGTTCATTGTCATTCCCTATTGCTAGTAATCCTAGACATCTGCAAAATAATACTTACAATCCATTATTTCAGCCTGGTCAAAATCAACAGTCTAATAAAGTTTTCTGTAAAAATAATTCTAATTATGTCAATCGAGTAAATACGTTTACAGGAACACATGAACATCAAAATAATTCTTTATCAGCATCTGTTTCTTTATTTCATCATCAGCCTAGACTTCAACATCCACAACCAGCAACACTTATGCCTGGAACCAGTCCAAATGCTGCAGTTCATCAGTTTTTAGCGGCAGCTGTTGCAGCTGGAATTCATCCTCTACCATCTAATGGTACAAATATTAATGATGGAAATTTAACAACTATGAGTAATGGAGGTTTTCGAAATCCACATGTTCATCCAACAAATGGTGCACCATTTGCTACACCTACCTATCAGGCTTTCCATCCAGCTGCTGTTTTTCCTTCATCGAATCAAGTTCCATCACAATCTGTTTCTTCTAATGGTCGAGATGGCTCTGGAACTGTAGTATTTCCACCTGCTGGTCTTTATCATACAGGTAATTTGAATGGAACTAATACACTAAACTCAACAAGTTCAGCCAATCATCAAACTTTACAACAGGCTCATCCAACTACAGCACTTATTCAGACTGGTTATCCTGTTCAATATTACCCTCAAAATCAACAACATTTTTGTCCTGTATCCAATGGAATTCAGCGTCATTCACCTCAACAACAACACCAACAACAAGCTGTAGTCGCAGCTGCAATGGCTGTTGCAGCCGCAATGAATAATGGTATTCAATCGAATAATGAGAACTGTAATGCATATATATCTCAGCATTCTCAAATCGAATGCAATATTCCACTTGATCCTGTCACAGCATCTAGTCCATCTGCACAAATATCTAAAGGTGGATCTGTTATTCAACCGGTGTTTAGAAATGATGGTGACTGGTGGACATCGGCCACACCAACATAATTAATATTATGAAGTTAGGCATCATTTGATTTAAACAATTTCATAGTGATTTTGTTTAAAATTATTTATGCATTCACATGTTTTGAATTGCTTACTTTAATTAGACATTTGACTTTTGTATTAATGTTTCACATTGAGTGGGTCTACAGTATACATGCATGCTCGCCTACAAATAAATTCATTGTTAATTGAGTACAATTTGTCTTTATAAGTTTATATAAATCTTACTTAGTTGTTTAGCCAGTCATTCTTACGTAACCAATTTTCTCCCTTATTCTAATTACTGTCATCAGTAATATATGACTTCAGTTGTTTACTATTTTATCATTATTTCCTCATTGTGTCTCCCTACTAGGTACTAGTTGTTTTTTATTGTTATATGTGTTATGTTGTCTTTTGTCCTACTATTTTGAATTGTATGCATGTGTGTTTGTTGATGTGAATTCTTTGTTTATGGGTACATCCACATTCTCTATTCCAACATTCATTAGCTAATTTAACGAAAAAACACTTCACAAGTGCTCCTGGATATATATATATCAACGTTGGAGAAAAGTTGGTCAACTAATTCCCTGTGTGTCTATATTTTCTTATTACTCCTTTTTCCTGTTTTCTCTTTTTATACTACTGATTCTCGTGCTACTATTATCTTTAATACCATATTCATATTCACTTTTTCCCTTTTGGATTTTTCTCATTTTAAGAGCTCTTTTTTGTTGAGAATGCGCCTCCTCACTGTTTTCAAGCTACCATTGTTATTATTATTATTAATGATAATTATGCTGTACACAATTACGAATCACCATTCTAAATGTATGAATTTTTGTACAGTTGCGATACTATCATTAGTTTGTTTTTTTCTTTTCATTATTTGAAGTAGAATTTATATTCATTTAACAACTACATACAATTTGTATGCACACTGACACATGCATTAAATACATAGGATTTTCACTGAATATTATGCATAATGTAGTATTAAGATTGTACCATATGTGACTTGTGTTGTCCATCTATCTATCATATTATTTGTTTGTTTTCATCTGTCACTCAATTTGTCATCTTTCTCATTTCATTCACTTAGGATAATCGTCATCTTGTTTTACTTCTACCATTATATTTCTTTTCATTTTTGGTTAGTTCATGTTTCATCCAAAATTATGCTATTTTCTTTTATATGTCAATGATTATATTTTTTCCTAGTTCGTGTAAAAATCAAGTATATACTGTCCATGTGCTTTCCTCTGCTGTGTCTGTGTGTGTACATGTGTTTCAACAGATGATTATATTTCTATTTTGTCGTTACATCGTATAAAGTCATCAAAGTGTTTATACATTTATATTGGATAAGGTCTTCATCAGTGTGGTGTTGACATATATACTACCACTACTACTCTTAAATTCCAACGAATTTTAATCGCAACTCAGGGCCATTGTGCTTAGAATAAAAAAGTAAGTTACGTGAACTTGTATTTAAAAGCTGAAAAGAGTAAACAAGGGCGGAGGATATTCGTTTGTGAAATTATTCTCTTTTTTTACAAAGACATTCTCTTCAAACGCTTTTGATTACCCTTCGTCTTACACTTCTCTCCTTAATCCAGGCATTTTTTCTATTCTGTTCTTGTCTGTTACACAGGTAGTTTTACATTTTCCATTTGAGAAATCTTTCCCATTGTTATAAAAGACGCCTTGTTCTTCATGATTGAATTAATTGTGGTGATATTCTTATACTGGTTACCTTCGTTGATACAGCACTACTTATTGTCAATGAGCAAATGTAAATTAGCTAACATTTTTTTTGAAACTTGTTTTGTTAATCTCTCCTCTTCAGTTTATATTAATACTACATCATTACACTGTCTTTTCCATTGTTTGCTTTTGCCACATTAGTAACAATAATGCTAATAAGTTGAAAACAACAATTATCAAGGTTAAAACAATAATCTATAAAGATTAGTAATGTTGATCTTGTTAATTAAAGGAACCAAAATGTCATGGTTGAATTTTGTTGATATATTTCCTTACATTTACTTCATATGGTTATTGGAGTCATTATAAATGGATTAATCATAGCGTATAGATTGCTGTGGTATTACGCTTCTCACCAACGTTTAATATAAGAAGTTGAGTGAGTGTCTAGCTTTTATTGATAAAGTTTTCTACATCATACTTGCTTATGACAGGAGTAGCGTTTCACCAATGAACTTCCTACGTTTTATAAATTTTGTATGGTTGTGTTTTAGCTTTATTGACTCTAATTCCATCCATAATTTTACAAAGCTATAAGTAATCAAGCCAGAAAACTAAATTACATAGCTTGACATTCCTTTAACGTCTAATTGAAATCCTGAAAGCTAACTGAATAAGACGTAGAATATTTCAAGTAATCCAATATTCTTTTACACAGTATTACAGCTTTATTCTCATACGGTCGGCCCACATTACTTTGACTTAGCGATGTATTTTTTGGTGGGTGGCTTCTGTTCTACTTCTTATCGTACGAATCAAGATGCTTTCACCAAGTGATAAAAGGATCTTATTATGCTCATCCTCGAAATAACTTTCAGGTTAGCGCTACTTTGATGCTTCGAGTGATCTCATACCGTTGCGCTATTTTGGAAGTTTCATTTTACGGTTTATGCATTTTACTTCCTGTCAACATTTGGGATCCAATCCCGAATGTATTTCATCAACTGGATATGATTGATAACTCATGGAGTAGGTTTAATTCATAATGGTAGCATCAATATTCATTGTCTAATAAATAGTTTGGGCCAACTCAATTTAAGGAACTAGCGTTCATTAAGATAACATCCCTTCTAGTATCAAAATAATCTATATTTTCAATTAAACTTACTTGGGGTTAGTCTAATGCATTAAATGTGACTAATCAAATCTTACTATTATTGACCTGTACTTTTTGAAATGGTGAATTAAACACACAAGTTGAATGTATTATTAAATTCTGTAGCTAATACTATGCGGTTTACCAATCAAACACGAAATGCTTTTACAACCAACCGATCTTGTTCAAATGGCTAGCTTGTTATGGTTGAAGCTATTCTAGGTGTTAGTGGATTATGTGGAAGATTGCTTACCAAATCAGACAAGAGTTTAACATATACTGAAGATAAATTAATAACTGGCATAATCAAGGTGGGAGACAATGTTGTTGAATAGGTGAAATGATATGGGAGAAATAAATTCTGAACTTGAGAACTTTGACAAGCGGTAAGCAAGAAGCTAGTAGCAAATTATCGCGATAATGAGATTGATGATTATCTCAGCCAGCATAGTTTGTTTTGATCCATATGATCTAGCACATAATAGCTTGGTGCCCTGTGTGTAATGCATAAACTAGGATCCTATCTTTACTCACATTTTCGGATGGGTGGCTAGTTTTGCTTCGCTCGCATAGTGAAGTTTTTCAATGGAATTTCGGAACCTTTGTTTGGACTAGTAAATAAGAGATTAAGCTTTGTTGACCCGATTTCATTGGTGAGAAGTGTAAGCGTGGGTGAATATTATAACCGTTGAAGATATAACATAATTCCTTGTCTTAATATTAACTCAGAGCGAAATATATGAGCAGGTAAGAGAATTTCAAAACAAAGCCTTGAATAATGATTATTAAAATGTATGAGAATAGGCACATATTCTGACTCATTTGTCAAAACAGAATAAACTAGAAGGGAGTTTATAATGTAAGGATAAATCGCATTTTCTTGACATTTTACTAAGCAGTACAAAAAGCACTAGTGCACATAACACGTACTTCTCTTTGACAATTCATTCATCCAGTGCAAAAGATATATTTTAACAAAAGCTAGTAAAATCTACTCGAATGATATCATATCTACTGGGTTAATGATCATCCTTAAAATATCGATTGGAATGACTCACGACAACAGATTCGCAAGCAACGGATTACGTTTACTTGACAGTAAATTGACTAGAGTAATTGTCCATTTCTGTCTATTTCTGAAATTTAAGCTGAGTACAGCATTATACGTGGGATTTATCAGGGCTGTAAAAAATACTTTTACGAATCCAATATTTGTAATACTTTGCAGATTAATTCTCGCAGTGGAAATAAAAAGATAAGCTACCATGAAACCTCCATACTAAAACTATAGTTTCGAGTTTACTAGTGACTTACTTCGAGATGATTTCCTGAAGTCCTAGTGGTAAGTCAACCTGTGAACTTCAGACACATCGACAGTGAAACTAATAGCATTCGATAATGAAACTGCTGCATTGTGAATTGACTGAAATTGGAGGTGTGTATTGTTTGGTACTGATGCTGTAGTCTAGCAGATAAGCGCTGACTTTGAGGCCTAGATTTCCCGAGTTCTATCCTTACTGAGTTCCTTGGTCAGGAGTACATATGAGCTTCGTAACAGGACGAGACTGTTGTTGTTGGTTCTTCCAAAACAGTGAAAGAAATGATGTCAGGTCGTTAGAAATAGTCATCAGGAAACCCTGGACCAAGATTTCGTGCCAGTTGACACTCACTAGCGAGGTGCATCTGCAATCTCATTCTCCATCTTAACAATGGGAAATGAATATATCCCCGAGAAGTTGGAGCGTGCCCACAAAAAAATTAATTACCCACTTATTAACACTTATTTCTCTACCAAGCATTTCTAGAGCAAGGAAATCATTTAGTATTGGTAATGATGTGTTTTGTTATCCAACATTGATGAAATACCACTTATTATACTTTTCATTTTATCGCATTACGTCTTATTACTATTAACTCTAATCAGATAAATATCGTTTGTCAAATATCACCGATTAACCTATTTGCTGTTGTTCAGCAATTACATTTAGTCGCATGTTATTAAATCGCTGTCTAGGATCTGTGAAGATTTTATCGTATTAGTTCTCTTATGGGGAAATATGATAAAAGTTAATGCATTCTTAGTACCAAATTTGTAAGAACATTGTCTGCAGCAGGATCATGGATCTGAACAAGATTGGTAACGAATGAAAATAGATATTTAAATGTTCATTGCAATTGGCCTTTTGACTGACGATGAACTAAAATATAAATAGATCTAGGAATGCGTTTAAAGCGAAACAGGATCAATGAAACATTGTGTTTAAAAAGCTTATTTAATAATATGGGAACATAAGTATCTTAATATAAAGCTATCGTATTAGCATTACTTGACAGTATTCCCGTTCACAACACACGTTCTCGAAAAAGTTTCTAAATTTAATTTCTGAATAACTTGTAACCATTCAATTAACAGTTAATGAAATGTTTTGAGAATATATTACCCTGTATAGTCTGTACACGTGAACTCAACAGCCAGGAATGAATATGCAACAAACTGATTTATATTATCGTTGGTCAATTGTCGCAGCCAAATCCCAATACAGTTCATGGGAGACGTTACTCCGCTAGATAATCAGCTTAGTAATTTCACATTCACTTAACTCTTTCTGTAAACTAAATATTTTGTTCTTTCTGACCACTGTATTTTTCCTTTAGGTTTGCCTTATGAGCACGAAGATTAAAGGACTTATATGTTAGCTTTATGCATTTCTTTCATATTAGAACTTCTTCATAATCTTACGGAATTATGATAGTCTTATGGTTAATTATGCTGTATTTGCAATTTTTCGCTTGGTCGTACATTAGACCAGAAACTTTGGAAGTACTCTCCATTGCTGTACTCAGTTATTATATAAATATCCATTTGAGACTAAGTATTGTTCCGTTCACTAAAATTAGTATATTTATTTTGGAATTCATGTACGGGTAGATCTAAATTGATATATCACAATGACAAAGTACATAATTGAATAGTCTGTTTTGAATCCATAATGCTTTTATGAAGACAAGTATTGGTGCTGATATATCTAAACTGAATTAAATATAAATTCACTTGGTATTGTTTACTTGAATCTTCCCATCGATGATTAAAACTGCAATTGATTAGTCTCTTATTGGCATATGTGCATATTGTGCGTATTGCCTCGATATTGCCTTAATTCAGTAGCTAAGTGGATAAAGTGATAGCATTGGAAGTGAACGGTGTTGAGTTCAGGTCCCAGAGTGAAAATCAACTCTGAGATACAGGTACATGCAACTGGCAAGTCTCAAATAGGACAAAACGCCCGTTCTAGATTCTACTACTAGCCACTATCCGTCATTGCTTATAATGCTTTTGAATTCAATATAACTAGATTTAAACCTACAATCTAATAGTTAGAAACTGAGTACTGCAACAACTAAGTCAGTTCACCATTGATTAGAGGTAGAAGTTGGCCTACATTATCTTTCTTCTCCTTAACAAATTTTAAATGCATATTTAGATTCATTGTTGTTTCTCTTTTAAAAAAATTACTCGAATATTTAAGAAAATAAATTAAATATATTTTCACTGGTTAAGATCATGAGTTAATTGAAGCTAGACCATCATGGAAAACCTGGAAGCACTATTGTGGGGCTCCTCAGCAGTGCGCACCCACGACCTCGCCCCCTGAGCGATCCGAACCCAGGACCTACTGGTTTAGCGCACGAGCACTTAACCACTAGACCACTGAGACGGCATCCTACAGTGTCAATGTCTAAATTCAACTAATTCACGAAATTGAGCGACACATCCACCATTGTCTTCAGTGAGTTAATATCTCACAACAGACCTGGTTGAACTTCACTGGCCACTACTTCTCACTAGAACTCCATCATATATCTCTTGAAGCTAGTCACTAGTGAGCATATATTTTCCATGGTAGCCTAGCTTCAACTGACTCATGATCTTAACCATTGAAATTACTATAATATCCAAAAAACCCTTCTGAAAATAAAAAAATATGTTCTTCATTGATTTACATGATCAATTCATGAATGTTGTTTATACAAAATTTATATTATACAATTGAATTGAGAAAAAAAATATTCATCAATATCAAAGTTAATTTTACTTAAACTACTTATTAAACTACTTGTAATACATAACATCCAACTATATTTTTGAAAATCCCCATCACGAATATAATAATATAAACTGGCTGGTATTATATCATTATTATTATTATTATTTTTATTAATTCAATATAATCATTATTATGTTATTATTATTAGTAGTATGTAATAATTGAATTAAATTTTTTATTGATTTTTTTATGATTTTCTTTTTATTGATTTGATCTAATGTTTCATAACCTGGTGTAATTTGATATAATGGTATAATAATTTGTTTATTTATGTTAATAATTAATTTATTATAATCAATTAATATTTGTAAAATAATATGAATTAATTGACAACGTATACCTTTTGGATCAATTGATTGACCAATCATAATTTGTAAATATTTTTGTAAATTTTTTATATCCTGAATACATGTTATACCATTCATTAATAAATTTAATAAATTTTCATTTATTATTATTTCATTATTATTATTATTACTACTACTATTATTATTATTACTATTATTATTATTACTATTACTATTATTATTATTATTATTATGTAATTGTAATTGTTTTAAATAAATTAAAAAATCTGGTATTAATGAAATCATTTTTTCATTAGATTTTTGAATAGAATAAAAATCATTTTGAAATAATTGATTTTGAGCTAATTTTGCATATTGAATTAATTTAAGATTTTTCTCTAAATGATAAAAACAAAAATACATATATATAGATGGATAAAAAAAGAGGGGAGGATGGAGAGAGAGAGAGAGAGGAGGGGAGAAGTACATTTTTAAAATAGATATTTACAAAATAAATAATAAGTAAATATATTTGCTTATAATGTTTGTGAATTAGGTAATATGCACAGTATGTACATATTCCAATAAGAGACTGATCAATTGTAAACCTAACATATCAATGAGAAGATTCAAATAAAACAATACCAAATGAATTTAAATTTCACCCGTATTGTACAAGCAAGTGACTATCAGGACTCAGAAGCTAAGTGGATTATGTGATGGCGCTTTGAAGTGGATGGTTATGGGTTCAAGTCCCAGAGTGAACATCAATTCTAGGATGAAGGTACATTCAGTTGATCAGTCCTAAATAAGACGAAACGTGCGTCTTAGATTCCACTACTAGTCACAATCCATCTATGTTTAAAATATTCATTTGTTTTATATAAAAAATGTGATCTAATGAATTCATAGTTAACTTATTTGGATTTCGTCTTCTTTTTATAAAAAAAACTAATCACATATTCAAATCCTAATTCTATTCGTTTTAGGACTGTGGTTATCATTAGTGTCTTAAATGTTCAGTAGGTTTGCTATGCCCAATACTTTTATTTATTTGTCTATTAATTTAACAACTGAATACTGTAATGTAGAGTGTAATTTTGATTAAAGATTACATTTTAAGGCCAAAATGTTTACTAAGTTTACATTTTTTTATTTGATATTTCGGGATGACTTCACCTTTTATGGAAACAACACTCTATTATACAGGATTCAAACACTAGATAAATAGAACAATTATCAACAGTATTGGCTATGATATGTTGTTGATACTTTTAGCTGCATTTAAGTTTCGAGGTAGCTAGTTATTATCATATGAATTCCTACAAGCTATTTAACTCAAAGTTGATTACATTAACCTGTACTTGGTATTAATAATGTTTATTTAAACATTAACATCGTCGCATGCCGGCTCAGTGTTCTAGAGGTTAAGCGTTCGCGCGCGAGACTGATATGTCCTGGGTTCGAATCTCATGAGGCGGAATCGTGAATGCGCACTACTGAGGAGTCCCACAATGGACGAAATGGCCGTCCAGTGTTTCCAGGTTTTCAATGATGGTCTAGCCTCAATTGACTCAGGATTGCAACTATTGAAATTACTAACAATCTCCACAAAACCCATTCTGATAATAAAACATAATTCCTAATCGATTAGTATATGGTTCCCAAATGGTACGATCGAGGGTAGGGAGAGTCAGCTCTTTTACTCGAAATAGTCACGCGTATACAGCAACTGCCATGAAAGTCTTTCTCACTGCCTTCTCGCGGCGGTGTTGTTTACAAAATTGAGAGGACGAAAAGCGAATGTTCGGTGCTTTAACCGGGTTGGTGGATATAGAGAGTCCACCTAGGGGAGTTGGAAAACCCTGATTTCAAACCAATGGTGCACATGGGATACAGGATCTTGAGGAAACCGGTCGTACGTTAGCATTAGGCACTGAAGTTGGCACCGTAACCTTGAAATCTCTAAAACGCCTCTGATTGGTTCGTCCATAAATTAGAGTCTCTCCGTAAAAACTAATTTAACTCAAAATATGAGTATTTAAACATGTAGATTGTTCAAGGAAATTGTATTGCTTCATTAACAAGAATTTATTTTACAGCTTTATTGTTTGATACTTTTGTTAAACAAAATTTGTTATACAGTAAAATGATCCGATTTTCTCAATTTAAGCTTTATAGTTTTCTTTATTACTTTCTAATTATGTTCAATTTATTCACTTGAGAAAATTTGTAAGAAGTGAAGAAAAACAAAAGAGAAATCATTCTGAACGGAATGAATTCATTTGGTATTGCTTTACTTGAATCTTTTTATTGATGTGATAGGTTTTTGTTTTGTAATTGATCAGTCTCTTATTGGCAATATACGAATCCCCTCAAGTGCCCTGGTACGGCCGAGAGTGGGGGGAGTTTACTCACCCTCTCGAAATGCTCTCACATGGCCACGCGTATATAGCCTCTGACAGGGAAGTCCTACTCACTGACTTTAAGTAGCGGGAGTGTTGATTACGAAATTAAGAGGATGGGAAGCCAATGTCCGGAGCTTTAACCGGGTTGGTGGATATGGAGAGTTTACCTAAGGGAGTTGGAAAACCCTGATTCCAAACTAATGGTGCACATGGGCTCCAGCATCCTGAGTGAACAAATGGCGTATGAACCAATCGTTGGTCACCGGTTACCATGGGACTGCATCTCCTTACGATGCTCCACTACCTTGTGGTTCAGACTTTCAGGTCGGAGGCTTCGGATGTGGCCCCCTAATGAAACCACCTGCTTCAGTTCGGACACCCGGGCAGTATCACAGCCCTCGCACAAATCAAATGAGATTTGTGTGGCGCATATGTATTTGGTGCCTCCTTGTACCAATATCTATGTGTTAACATAAGTAAATAAATAATAATATATGAATACTAAGTGTATTACTTTAATTCACAAGTATTATAAGTAAAGGTGGATAGTAGTTAGTAGTGAATTCAGTTTGACGATCATTTTGTTCTAAGTTCTAGTCATAGAGTGAACATCAACTTTAAGATACACGTATATCCAACTGACGAGTCTCATATAAGATGAAAAGCGCTTCCTGGATACCACTTCTAGCCACTATTCATATTTGAACAGAATGAAGCTTTTCTTTTCTTTTCTTTTAATGTTCAATGATTGATTTCATTATATAATATATTGATTAAAATATATTTTAATTAATATTTTTCTTCAATTAAAATTATACTCAAATTTTCATAGTCTCATTCGTAATTCAATTGAGTCAATATGAACATTGAATTATTTATATTATATGAATAAATAGAATAATTCAATGTTTTATTCTATTTGCATAGTGTTAACTAGCTTAAAGAATATCTAATTATTAGTGAACACAATTGATTTGTACATCATCTAGGTTAAAGTGCTATTTTCAAGTATTTTAGTATGGTAAATAAATAAACAATTAGTGTAGGAAGAAATGATACACATTTTTGTTATATTGAAAATAGAATATTGATTAAAATCTATGCATAACTGATTGTTTTATATGATTTCAAAGTAGATTGATTACTTTTTTTGATGGAGATTAAAACAATGATGATGAGAAGGGTATCAGTTCATTTGTGTGGAACGATTGTAAACTATAAAGAATTTGGGAATCATGTTGAATTCAAGTCTGGAACTCTTAAATGATACAGATTGCTAAAAAAATAAAGGATCAAATCTAGTATCCTCAAGTTTCTCAATGAACATGATACTTTGAGATTGCTATTGAAGATCTAATGGTTAATGGATGATAACAATCAAAGACAAAATTAACTTTGAACATGGTAATCTCTACAACTCCTTCGTGTTTTGAGAATGATATCTTTATAATTTTAGAATAATCAAGCAAATATTGTTGATAAATCAATAGAAAAGGATTTACATTGGAGCTTAATATAAGTGAGATAATTATTTAAAAGACTCCTAAAATTAATCAAGAACTATTTCATTATATTATTATAAGATACTTCAACTGTATATATTTATGATCAGTTACTGATTGATACTATGCCATTGTGATATTGTAAAGAGTACTCTGTTATTTGGTCAATTCAATGCCATTTAAAGGTTGATTCCAAACTGTCTTAAACATTAATAACAGATATATGAACGTGTAATGAATAACAAAATTGGAAAGCGGTCAATATTCCCTTCAGATTATTCATACTCTTGTGTTTAGGACATTATAAGAATTATTACCAAGTTTATATATTTCACTTCTTACAATCAAATTAGTTAAAGGTGTAGATTAAACTATAGGAATTCGCCTAAACTCAGCGAGTCTTGGTTGTATAGTCACATTTATTGTTTATCTTTATAAATAGATCCAGTTAAGGATTATTCTTAGTTTTTCATTTCTCGGTTTTATTTATTCTTTTAAAACCATATTTAAAGAAAAACATATTTATTTCTAGATTGTTTCTTTTTCCAATGTGAAAAATTTTATCATTATACACTCTTACCAAATCCTACTTACTTACGTCCGTTACCCCTCATCGAGGAGCATAAGCCACCACAAGCACTCTCCATCCAACCCTGTCATGGGCAATCCTTTCCAGTTCTTTCCATTTGTTGTTCATCCTTTTCATATCTCCTTCTATTTCGCGACATATTGTGTTCTTTGGCCTTCCTCTTTTCCGCTTCTCTTCAGGTATCAGGTTATGGTTGCCTCGTGATGCAGTTTGGTGATTCCTGTAATGTATACCCTATCCACGTCCATCGTCTTTTCCTAATTTCTTCTTCAGCTGGAAGCTGGTTTGTTCTCTCCCACAAAAGGCTGTTGTTGGTGGTATCCGGTCAATGGATGTTGAGTATCTTGCGTAGACAGCTATTTATAAATACTTGCACCTTCTTGATGATGATTGTTGTAGTTCTTCAAGTTTCAGCTCCGTACAGTAGAACTGCCTTGACATTCGTATTGAAGATTTTCACTTTGATACTGGTTGAAAGTTGTTTTGAGTTCCATATGTTTTTCAACTGTAGGAATGCTGTCCTTGCTTAGCCAATCCTTGCCTTTATGTCTGCATCTGAACCTCCTTGTTAATCGATTATGCTTCCCAGGTATGTGAATAATTCTACATCTTCCAGAGTTTTGCCATCAAGAGTGACTGGATCGCTGTTCTCCACTTTGAATTTGAAGATGTTGTTTTTTCTTTTGTATATAATGAGGTCTACTTATGCACAGGCTGCTACTACACTCGTTGTCTTCATCGGTATTTGTTCGTGTGTATGGGATAAAAGGGTTAAAACAAAACACCAACCAGATTAAACAGATTACCAAATCCTAAGTTGATAATAATTAATGAATTAATACTCTCTATTATAAACTGACTTCATCATCTTAACTAATATAAATCATAATTGGCAATAATTTTCAATGAAGTTCAATACAATTTTCATCTTACCTGAATCTTCTATATGATATACAATTGGAATTTTAGACATTTTCCATTCATTTATAGCATTTATTACATCATTATTATTGATATAAAGTTGAATTTTAAAACAATCTACTCCAATTACTTTACGTGTTTCTATGGTGTCAAAATATTTTTGTAGACAATTTGCAAATTGATCTTTGATTGAATTTATCTCTTCTAATTTATCAATACTATCTGGATATATAATAAGTATTAAGTCTGTAATAAAGTAGAATATAAATTATCAAGAGTAAAATTTGTAAAATGGAAAATATTCACTTATTATGAGATAATTATTATTACAAAACTGATATATGCCTAAGAACTAATGATAACTGAAAACTACTGTTCTACTGTGGTGTATGCTACTAATGCCGACACATATAAGTAGTATGTATCATCAATCGAAAGTGAAATGCTTGGTGGCAGAAGGTTAGGAAGATAGAAGAAAAAAGAACGACAACAGAGAATGGTTGGTGTGGAAACGAAAGAACAATGGAGTCTGAGACAATTAATTTACATTTTGCAAATGAATTATTTATTGTATGGTTCTCGGATTTTATTAAGACACTCTGTAATTTTTTATTGAGATACATTTGGTTGTCCCCGTTTGTGTTCTCGTTCACTACACTACTATTCAATAATGTACATTGAAGTCCTAATACGGGATTATGGTCAACATGTACAATAGAAATTTTTTACTTTTTGTTTTCAGTATCAGTTAGTATGAATTACAGTTTGATTTTGAACCAGTAGTGATTTACTGTGTCATTTGTAAATGGACTGACTTTAAAGATTGAATCCCTTTCATTAGAGCTTTGGAAATCTCATCTGAAAGCTAGTTATTTATTGGTGTAAAACCATTATTTAATTAGCTTTAATATTACGATATCCTTTTATAGTTTATAGATATTTTAAAGTTAACACTACGGATTGATTCTAATTAAATGACCATTGAAAACGAAGAAACATTGGGTGGCTTTTTTATCCTAGTACTAGATTCCTGATCAATTCATATTTGCTATGTCGCCACAAATACTACCACTACTACTGAAGAGTCCCATAATCGGACGAAACGACCGTCAAGTACTTACAGGTTTTCAATGGTGGGCTAGCATCAATCGGTTCATGATCTCAACCAAAAATTGATTCAAGCTGATCTGCTGAAAATAACATTCTGGAATTTTATTTATTTTCGCGTGGGTTTGAGAAAATAACGTTACCAGAAACTTTGACGAAGTGGCTTACATTAAGTCACGAAATGTCAGAAATACAGTTTTCCTATTCATTGGGATATATTAAAAAATATATTTATTATGTTGCCAGACACTGTTATAATTGGCTGTGTCCGAGATCTGATTTTGATACACAACGTACTACACACTACAGATGTTTTCTATGGAATATTTAGATTTGGGTTCTATAAAACGTTATATGTAGACCATAACACGGATCTGATTAGTAAAATAATTACTGATAGTGTCCTGTGGAAAAATATCCGAATTGTGAATTTTGTTATATCTAACCATATTTCCTAGGGCAAATAAAGCTTTCTTACAGTTATATTCAATCGTTAAGCACGAAACTAAATTTTATTCATTATTCACTTCATTTATTGGAGTATATTTATTATAATTTTGTCAACATTAGAAATATTGGCAGTGTGACAGACCACCATTATGTATATATCGTTAACTTTAGGTGGTTTGGGATAGTCGACAGAGAATCCTCTACCAAAATCTCGTGCTAATTCTCATGCGTAAACAAAGTATACCTTCAATGTCGAGAAAAATAATGCTCCTTTTATAATTTTTAACTTGTTTTGCCCAGCTTCACAGTTCAATGAATGATTACTATACATTCGGTAGCGAATTATGTAGACCAGTGACGAAATTGAAACTCTGTCGGTAGAATCTTGGACACCCTCCACCATAACAATCTGTTTGTATAGATTATTCAAAATTGATGTATGCGTCAAATATTATGAATATAAGAAAATCAGTGCAAAGAATTTTAGCATCTCAATGAGAAAGATTGACTGTTTGAATTTATATATCCGGAATCTTCCTCAAAACGAAATGGGAATCAACAGATTATACAGTTAATATGGATTCTTTTACATATAGCTTGGACACTGCATATTTTAAAAGAATCAGTGAATAGTAACCTAGTCGACTGGGAAGTCCAAAGATTTTTATCGATTAAAAGGTCATCAATAAATCAGTGACGTAGTAATGGCCATATTGTAACTTATTATTATTTCTTCTTGATATGTTATAAGAAAATTAGTCCATATTATCATACAAATTTTGAGTACTAAAGTGAATTGTACGATAGAATTTATCTGCAGGCTGAGTTCTTGTTCTTTGCTGGCCATCTAACAATCGAGCGAATGAGCGAAGTTGAATGTTGGGCTAATAGATGTTATGTATTGATCTCGGTAGCTATTTCACTGTCACTGAGTCATTAGTCGAAGAAAGGTCACTAAGTTAACAGAAATTTATTGGTCTTATACAGGAAATCTAAGCTAATTAATCAATAATCTGACTGATGAATACAACTGATCACCTAAATACCGGCCTGATTGAATTGGTGTTAACTGCAACACAAGAATCAATTCCCTTTAGCAATTACACCATCAAATTATATCGTTTTTTAACTTCATTGTCATCACTAAACAATAATTCTCAACTATTCTCGTTATTTATAAATTACTTATGCTATGCGATTTATTAGAGTACTGATAATGGGATTTCTTTACATTTTCCATCATACAACGGAGTAATTACTAAATTTTATCTTTTTTTACTTTACTTACGCCTGTTGCTTTTAATGGAGCATTGGCCGCCGACCAGCATTTTACAACCCACTCTGTCCTCCGTCTTCTTTTCTAGTTCCATCCAATTCTTGTTCATTTTCCTCATGTCTATCTCCGTTTCCCGGCGTAATGTGTTCTTTGGTCTTCTTCTTCTCCTTTGGCCCTCAGGATTCCATGTGAGGGCTTGCCTTGTGACACAGTTGCATGCTTTCCCCAATGTGTGTCCTATCCACCTCCAACGCTTCTTCTTGATTTCTTCCTCCGCTGGAATCTGGTTTGTTCGCTCTCACAGTAGGTTGCTGTGATAGTGTCTGACCAACGGATCCGAAGTATTTTGTGTAGAAAACTGTTAATAAACACCTGTATTTTCTGGATGATGGCTTTCGTAGTTCTCCAAGTTTCTGCCCCCTACAGTAGAACTGTCTTGACATTTGTATTGAAAATCCTGACCTTTGTGGTGGTTGACAGTTGCTTTGAGCTCCAGATGTTCTTCAGTTGTAAATATACTGCTCTTGCCTTACCGATCTGCGCTTTCACATCTGCATCAGATCCACCCTGTTCATCAATGATGCTGCCCAAATATGTAAAGTTTTTTTATATCTTCCAAATCGTCTCCATCAATTGTGACTGGATTGGTGCATGCTGTGTTGTATCGGAGAATCTTGCTTTTCCCTTTGTGTATATTGAGACCTACTGCTGCTGAGGTTGCTGCCACACTGTTCGTCTTCTCCTTCATTTGTTGTTGCGTTTGGGATAGGAGGGCCAGATCATTTGCGAAGTCTAGATCGTTCAGCTGCATCCTAGATGTCTATTGTATCCCGTGCTTCCCTTCAGATGTTGACGTCTTCGTGATCCAGTCGATCACGAGGAGAAAGAGAAAGGGTGAGAGTAAGCAACCTTGCCTAACACCGGTCTTTACTTCGAACAATTTTGTCAGCTGACCTCCATGCACGATTTTGCAGTTTAATCGATCATAGGAATTCTGTATGATATTGACTATCAAAGGAGCTTCCATAGTGTTGTTCTGCCCACGCTATCAAATGCTTTTTCGTAGTCAATGAAAACTTTATATTATCATTACTTACAACATTTATTCAATACTCCCAATGAGCGCTGAATGACGTACGAAGGTTTATCAACTGCTTATAGTCTATCTTAATCATTTGTGTTTACATACATTATGTATTCAATTAAGAATTAAAGATTTCAAAAGGAATATTAAAATGGATAGATTATGTAAAATGCATAATTGATTTTGCAATGTTAAAAAACAAACAAACAAACAAACAAGTAACCAGTTAGTAACTAAATTAATTAAGTCACTCATTATAGGTATAGACAATTGATTGATTATAGTCTGAGGCCTATGCTCCATTAGGAGTAACAGGCGTATGTAAGTAAGTACAAATTGTTTATATTGAATGAATTCAATTATATTAAAGAATAAGCTTAATTAATAAGAGTATTCAATGTTGACAGGTTAACTTTTAAGCACTTTTTAAAAAAAACTAATCTATGTATTGTTATGTAATTGATATTTAAACAATACAAATAAAAATAAACTGAAATCAGTCACTATAACAATAGGATTTCAATAGTATGATGTAATATGAATATATATCTGTATAGATTGTTTTTGAACTATTACTCCAAGTACTTCATAGTCAGTATGTTAGTTACCCGTATTAAAGATATTAATTTCAAATGACTATTTACAATTTTGAAGGGAAACGAAAAAAAAGGAAAGCCAAAGAACACATTACATACGGAAGTAGAATCAGATATGATAAGGATGAATAACAAAATGGAAAAAACTGGAAAGGATTACCCATGACAGAGTTGGATAGAGAGTGCTTGTGGGTGACCTATGCTCCTTCATGAGGAGTAACAGGTGTAAATAAGTAATTTACAAACACTTGAAATTAACTAATTAATAATCCCTTGACTTACTTAAATATATTTTAATAGGTGCTAACGGATTAAAGGGTTAAAACTGGATAACATCATTAATATAAGTCGATGATATGTTTTAAATATGAAAGTAGTTACTGATAAAGTTTAAAACTTTAATTTATCTGTCAAATCGGATATGCTTGTGGTAGATGTTTTGTTAATGTTTTTGTGCAGTTGAAGTCCCTTTGTTTTGTAGTGCAACAAGCTAATTTCCCCAAAACAGTCATACATACGGAAAAGTAAATTACTATCCTATGCTATGATATGCTTGCCTGTGGACTGACTAGATGGGAATGATAAATCAATATGGTTGGTCTGGTTGTTCAGAAACAGTTGAATTCCACTAATAGCTAAATTATTATATCAATAAAGCATTATGCTCCAGTGATGTGAAGTTTGATAAATATTAGTAGATTAATCGATAGAGATAATTAGGAGAAACGCAGCTAAATATGGTTTAACATAATTATCGATCCAAGTTGTATGTAAGGTATCATTAGGTTATTGCAACCATAGAATTACAAATAAAATCAAGTTCATAATGAATAAATTTATGCGATGATCTAATACTCAGAATGGAAATCCAAGAAATAGTTACGTAAAGCAACGAAATAACAGTGAATATTTCACCTGATCCCTTTATATAGAACCTGATTTATCGTTGAAATTCAAATTAATTAGCAGAGGATAGCAATAATGGGATCTTATAATCTTAATGAAAATAAAACTAGTTGAAGGGACCTCCATCCATTTTCAAATGATAATTAATTAATCGGATAGTTTTGGAACAGCCGAAAAACACTGTCTGTCGTTCACAAATATAAACAGGACACTTCGATTGATTTGAGAAGACCGAGAGTTAAGATTAAAAGACTTTAAGCATTGGATCAAAAGGGACATCAGCCTTGTGACTTCCGAAAGAACTTGGCTTTATCATGAGACATCATAACTCTTCTAAACGAAGACCTTCTAACTCCCAGGGCAGAGTTTAAATGGTTTGATCTATTTTTTTCTGGTTAGCGTCTTTTTAGCGAGTTAGTTTTCTACGGGATCGGGTCACTAACCCCATGCTCAACCTTCTTCCTTTATCCGGGTTTGGGACAGGCAGTAGCCACATGGGGGCCCCGGGCAGAGTTTTAAGCATTGGATGGTATGTTAATATTTTATTCATGCACACTAATTGAACAGTGAATTATTATATCTGATTGTTACACATAAATAAACCGAGTCATAGAGCTGAAACAGCTATTTAGTTAATGGTTAACATCAATAACTGATATAGAAGAAAGTAAAATCTATTAAATGTTAAGTCTGAATAAAAATGTTTAATTGACCAAACCAATATTATTCAATACTCTGAAATATAAGCAGGCAATTCAATAGTTATATTCAAACTAATTTATATTAGGGCTGACAAGAAATAAAAAATAATAATTTAATAGTTGAGTTCATGAGTCAGTTGAAGCTAGACTACCATGGAAAACCTGGAAGTACTAGACGGCCGTTTTGTCCTACTGTGGGACTCCTCAGCTATGCGCATTCACGATCCCACCTCTCGAGATTCGAACCCAGGACTTATCAGTCTCACACGGGAACACTTAATCTCTAGACCACTAAGCGGGCATCCAACAGTGTTAATGTCCAACTTCAACCAATTCATAAACCCCCACCTCTGATTATAAAAAAAATAATAATCATACTAACCAGATTCAATTCGTTCTAATACAAATCCACTAAATATTTCGTCATTCTCTTCTTCCAAACACCATTTTAATTCCAATAAATTAGTGTTACAAAATATTTGATGTTCAAATTTCTCATGTACTTGAGCTAAGAAATAATTCATAGATGAGTAAATACCATTGACAATTGGTTGACAATCGATTATTTGTAATTTTATACCAATTTCTCCTAGAGATTAGTTTAGTTAGAAAAATATAATATTGAAAATTATACATGGTAGTAAATACAAAATTTATATGATCATTTAATAAGTAGACAAATACCTGAAATATTCATTTGGTGTTGTTTACTTGTATCTTCTGATTGTTATTTAAGACTACAAATGATCAGTCTCTTATTGGCATATGTGAATCCTGTGCGTATTGCCTCGATATTGCCTGAAGTCACAAGTTTTATAAGCAAAGATGGATAGTGGCACAAGGAGGTGGCTAGTAGAACTCAGTAGCTAAGTGGATAATGCGATGGCGTTTGAAGCGAACAGTACTGGGTTCGAATTCCAGATTGAACATCTGTTAACGTGAAAAAGGGCTGCAGATTGGAGGTTAGCGTAATATCGATCGGACCAAAGACGCGCAAACATGTAAGAACGGTCTAGGGTTCTGATTGGTCCCGCTTCCCTGTCTACCCCAGCCAGTTGAGTCCAGAACGCAAGTCTCAGCCTCTGAGATATGAATCATTATATTTCAAACATACTCTGTTTATATACCAATCAAACAGATTACATCGTACCATAAAATAGAAAACAACATTTGTACAATATTTGACGAGTAAAATAAACATTGACCAATAGGAAATGTCCATTTAAAGTCCAAGGACACCATTAAACTTTACATGATAATTATTGGGGTATTTTTCTGAATATCCCAACATCATCTCTGATATGCAGGTACACCCAGCTAATTTTCCTAAATAAGATGTAGCCTGCGTCCTGGATTTCACTGCTAGCCACTATCCATCTTTGCTTAAATACCTGAAATATTGTATTTTGTTTCTTGTTCAACTAAACAATTATGACTCTTTAATTGCTTGTTTGAGAACAAAAAGGAAAGCAAAAAAACATAATCAAATTGTGTTTCCTTAAGAAAAAGATACATGGTCTAGACTTGCTAAATAAAAGATGGAAATCTCATTTCATATTGAGGTTTTGTCCCAAAACACTGAAAATGGTTATTAGGAAGACTGAAACTTAATTCCATTTAATGTTACACTGCTTTGGTCTACAGCTTTAAAGTTATACGATTCATATATTGTTTATTAATTGTCTACTTATAATGAAGCATTTTTACGAATTTTCAAGTTTGAATTTCCTTTAAACATATTGCTTACTGGTTCCCTTCAGATATGAAAATAAAAGGAACGAAATAGTATTATGTGACTAGAAATAGTTGGCATGAACTTCAGTATCAAGGTTCCGTGCAAGTTGAAACTCACCAGCAAAGGACATTTATGTTCATTGAGAAAATGATGCATCATGTGGAAGTTGAAACTAATTTTCTCAACACCAATGTCTGAAAAATCATCACTGAACAATCTGGAACACGAATGACCTCTTGTAAGACTGAGTTATTTACCACTGACCGTTCATTGAGAAGTTAACGATGTAATGTTTGCCTGTTCATACTGTTTGTCTCTAACCACGCAACATCAAAATATATTGGACGCATTGTTGAGCCACTTAGATTGATGGCCACACTACAAACTGATCTCTAGAATTATATCAGCACTAATAAACTGGGATAACATGGCACTGGTCACCACTCATTGATCAACCAACCTGTAAATAGGATAATCACTGAGGAATATTCATAGAGAGTAGGTGTGTTTCCGTGCTGTAATGTTTTAATTTAAAAGATCCTATCTGGATAACAAAATCATTTCAGTATACAATATCTAACAGAAGGATAATATTCCATTGGTTATTATTTCGACTCCATTTAAATTTCCCCTTGAAGAATTATGTAGGCTAGACATACGTCAACTTTACTTTCTGAATATCCCGAATTCCTTCAATATTGGGTAAAATGTCCTAAATCAAGAAGCTATGTTCTATCCAAACTTTGAAAATACTGGTTATCTACAGTTACATTGTTTATTATACTTCGTATACAAGACCAAAAACATTTAAACATATCATTCATTCTATACTATGTGTACGCAATTATTTACCATGTTTCAAAGTTACCAAATTTTGTTAGTTTTCTCATTTTTAATCAACCTCTATAGTAGTAATAGTTCAGCGACACAGAAAACAATAATTATCATAGTATATTTCAATTCCCCAAGTCAACAACCATTTGTGCATATTTTCAACTTTGCTTGATTCGTGATACTGAATACTTTCGGTTTTATTAATCACCTTCTAAACAATTTTGACTTCACTAGAAACTCGAACAATTTAAGTAACACACATTAGAAACAGACTCATGACGAATGTTCAATTTCAAGGTTGAATTAATATTAACATCTATATTGATTAAATTGTAAAGGGAACCATTGCATTCTTTTGTAATTATTATTTCTTTAAAATCCTTAGTTTATAACTCTCCTGCTTGCATATTGGGCTACTTGTTCCTGCCATCTAGATATTTCAACAAGTTGTTTTTGTTTATTTTAACACACCATTATGTTTGTTAATCAGGTAACCTATTCAGGTGCCTTTATGAAAAGTTTACAACATTTCGCTGTACAAGTTACAAAAAAGTTCAATCAGAGACATCGCGGTTGTTGGTAATATACATCGAAAAGAATGTATATTATTCAGATGTGGATTCTTGAAATGATAACTTTGAACTGGCGCCCACTAAATATTAAACATCAGGATCGATCAATAAGTAAGAAACTTGCTGAGAATTCTATATTGTATCAAGAATATAATATTGAATAAGGCTAATAATAATAACATTTTTCATAACAATATTTTTCCCCTTCTTAATTGAAACGAATCAAGAACAAAAATTTGAACAACATAATATTAATTTAATTTACTTTAATTTAGGTTCTTATCAATTGCTTACATAACCTGTAATGTTTGAAGATTAAAACTATAAAATAGGTTTGTAGATCACCGACGTAGATGATCAATGTCGAATGATTGGAGGCCTATTCGAGTTAGACGGGCATGCTGTGACGAATCAACTAACTTCGAAGCCACACCTCGCGGTCAGCATCTAACGTGGATCACCCCTTTGACGTATCAAAGTAATATGGCTGCTTTGAAGACCGTATAACACGAAGGACGTTATTATGGGAAGATATTAGTAAAAATGAGTACAGAGAAGATAGCGAGACCACCGCTGTATGCGACAGTCCATGGCATACGGTTAACTGATGCGCGTTGGGTATCCTTGACCTTGACGAGGGTCGATGATCTATTCGAAATTTAATGACCCAACTGCCAGATGATTAGGCTAGGGCTCAGTGACATTTCACTGGCCCTACAAGTTTAAAATATATAAATAAGTTTGATTAAATGTTGTGGACAAATATCAGAATGCCATTAGGAAAGATGAAAATAAAGTTAAGAGATTAAATGAAATATGATACATTGTATTCTATTCAGAAAAACATTCTGAAATGTTAATTGTACTAAATGGCCAAAGAACAAAAAAATAGGTGATTACGCAATAAAAAGGAGGTAATATTAATTAGAAATAAAATAAAATAGGAAAACTATATTGTAGTGACGACTCTGGGTGACTCACCAGCTAATAAGGAAACAATGTTTAGTTTTATAATGAGAAATTATAAAAATAACATGAATATTTAGTTTCTAACATGATTAGTGAACGAAATATGGTTATGATCAGAAATTAGGCGTTCAGGATTAAGGTTAGGAAATGTGGTTAGGAGTGTTAAGGTCAGGAACTATGGTTTACAACGAACTGACACCAGCTATTGAAAAACGTGTTGAACTTTTAGTAGTTCTAGTTACAAAGGTTGTGTCTAGGAGCTGATGTCACAATGAGTGAATACTTTTGGCCATCAAATAGCATTGGTTATACTTCAAATTACATTAAGTGCTCATAGCTTGTTATCAGCTTACTTACTTACTTACTTAGGCCTGTTACTCCCAATGGAGCATAGGCTGCTGACCAGCATTTTACAACCCACTCTGTCCTCCGTCTTCTTTTCTAGTTCCATCCAACTCTTGTTCATTTTCCTCATGTCTATCTCCATTTCCCGGCGTAATGTGTTCTTTGGTCTTCTTCTTCTCCTTTGGCCCTCAGGATTCCATGTGAGGGCTTGCCTTGTGACACAGTTGCATGCTTTCCCCAATGTGTGTCCTATCCACCTCCAACGCTTCTTCCTGATTTCTTCCTCCGCTGGAATCTGGTTTGTTCGCTCTCACAGTAGGTTGCTGTGATAGTGTCTGACCAACGGATCCGAAGTATTTTGTGTAGAAAACTGTTAATAAACACCTGTATTTTCTGGATGATGGCTTTCGTAGTTCTCCAAGTTTCTGCCCCATACAGTAGAACTGTCTTGACATTTGTATTGAAAATCCTGACCTTTGTGGTGGTTGACAGTTGCTTTGAGTTCCAGATGTTCTTCAGTTGTAAATATACCGCTCTTGCTTTACCGATCTGCGCTTTCACATCTGCATCAGATCCACCCTGTTCATCAATGATGCTGCCCAAATATGTAAAGTTTTTTTATATCTTCCAAATCGTCTCCATCAATTGTGACTGGATTGGTGCATGCTGTGTTGTATCGGAGAATCTTGCTTTTCCCTTTGTGTATATTGAGACCTACTGCTGCTGAGGTTGCTGCCACACTGTTCGTCTTCTCCTTCATTTGTTGTTGCGTTTGGGATAGGAGGGCCAGATCATTTGCGAAGTCTAGATCGTTCAGCTGCATCCTAGATGTCCATTGTATCCCGTGCTTCCCTTCAGATGTTGACGTCTTCGTGATCCAGTCGATCACGAGGAGAAAGAGAAAGGGTGAGAGTAAGCAACCTTGCCTAACACCGGTCTTTACTTCGAACGACTTTGTCAACTGTTCTCCATGCACGATTTTGCAGTGTAATCCATCATATGAACTCTGTATGCTATTGACTATCTTCTGAGGCACGCCGTAGTGTCGGAGAAGTTTCCATAGTGTTGT